ATTTTGTTGTAGTTAATATGTGCCACAACGACTTTCATTAATACACGTTGTTATAGTGAGCATTGCGAAAACAAAGGTAGTACACAAAAGTAATACGAGAGATACTCAACTTGAAATTGTAGCAAAGGGTTCCCTGCAACATGAATGGTCATTCATCCGACAGTCTGTATTTTGTTTCTACCAAAATTGCAAAATGTTCGGGCATTTAATTGTTACCCTCTAAAATGATGGAAAAGACTGTACAAAATTAAGGAATTTGAAAGTCACAGAAATATGTACAATTTTTGCATTGATATGTATTAATTTGATTAGGATTATATACTTATAAAAGCGTTTGAATAATCGCATTTAGAGCATTTGAACTAGCTTACTTTTTGTAGAGTTTAGTATCATTTACATAATCAAGCTCAGTATCTTAATCGGGAAGTAAGTAAAGAAAATAATTTATCCATTTGATATATTAATCATGTATTAGAATATTATATGCTTTTTAAAGAATGATATCAGACTGACTGTTTTCTAAGCCTATACTGTATACGTTTTAATTATCGCATTTTAGAGAATGTTCTGCTTCTATTGTTTTTGTAGAATTTAGTGGGATTTAAAGAATTATGGAGATGAGCAAGTTCAGTGTTTTAGTCAGGATTTATGTTACAGAAATAATTAAGTATCCATTTGATATAGTGTTCTCTATTAAAGCATTCATATAATATTTAAAATAATTATATTAGACCTAGATGCTGATATTACTAATTTTGGCTTTTTTTTTAATCGTGTTTATTGGCACATTATAAGCAAAGACATACAATTTTTTAATTTTATTTTTGCATTGAAACAGGTAACATTTTCTAGAACAAGCTGTGCGAAAAAAAACTTAAAAAACAGAGAGACTTCTTGTTGTGATAAAAAGTTCCTGAATGTAATGCAAACAACTCACCTAACACCCTGTATTTTTTTGCAGAAGAATTACAAAATGTACAGGCACTTTTTACGCTCTACTATATAATGGCAGTAATCGGTGCAAATATAAATATAGGGACAATGTTTGGGCACTGTTTTTTTTCTTTCTAAAACATGTAGCTAAAACACCTTCTTAACATTTTGGTAGCTGCCGCACTGTAAAAATATTGGCATTATAACAGCAGTGTAGGCCCTACTCTTTAGTAAATGGATCTGACAATGTTCATACATTTTTGCATTTCTGAGTGTAAAATACTGAATTATTTGGCTAAATTTTGAGACCGATTCATGAGGCCTCGCCCACTGCACACGTGGTCAACAACACGCGCGCGCGCCCTTCCAATGCAACACTGTGGGTGCGTGCGTGCGCGTCAAAATACCATTGGGCGGGGCTTAATGGATCAGCTCATCAAGTTAATTTGAATTATAATCGTACACGTCAGCTTTGTTTATTAGAGTTTATTCGGATTTAGTGGGATTTAAAGTAGATTAGCAAGCTCAGTATTTTAATCAAGAGTTTAAAAATACAGAAACGTATCAATTTTATCCAAGCCTATTTAATAATGTCTTTATAAGCTTTATTGATGTTTGGAGTACATAGCATTTTTGATAATTATTATAGACTTAGCGGTAATATTGCAAAATGTGGCTGTTTTGCCAAAGCTCGCATTTTTCTATTGCCAGAGTATATTTTTCATCATAATATCCGTCACACAACGACTCTCTCCAAATGAATTTGCTCAACATTGATAGAATAAGCTGTGTGAAAAAGAATACAAAGAAATATCGAACAGATACTTATTGCACTATAATACACTGTATTAAGTCCATGTATGTAAAAGTTAATGTTTAATTAACTCATTTAGCCGGCAGCATGTGTTCGCCAAAGATTTGTAAAATGTAAGGGCACTTTTTTCCCACACTAAAATTAAGCCAACCGTCTACAATATTATACCATGACTTATTTCGGGCACCGTTTTTCCAGCAGTAACAATTAAATTCTAAACAATCGGCAGTGTATTTCCTCGTAAAATACTGAATTGGCAACTTTCATTTTTGTGTGTGTAAATTGTTTGGCTATGCTAATTAAGAATCGTTAACGCTCCTGACATAACTATAACCAGCTTATTTACGCTATATCCGAAAATATTTACTTGGAAGAAGAATAAACTTAGTTTTAGCGCTTGAAATATGAATGTGTTTAGTGTTTTATTGTTACAGTTGCTTTTATTTTGATTGTTGTCCAGATAGCCCTATCTTAAGATAACTTTTAGGTGATACTGTGCTCTGCACTTTGTGTTTTCGCATTGCAATAAAAGTAGACATTTGTAGGATGTAAGCAAGTTGAACTTAAACCGGTTTGCACCTCATGGGAGTAAATCTCCATGATATAAGGATTTATCCCCGCCCATTTTTTGTCTTGGAGACAGGGAGATAGGAGGGGCTGAAAGACCATCCCTCTTTTTATTGTACGCAACCCCCCCCCCTTCCTGCACCACCACCCCCTTGATCTCCCCCCCCCCCCCCCCCCCCCCCGCTAAATCCCCAAAAACTCCATTACAGGTATTGGGATTTTGTATAACTGATGCACAATATAGTTAAAATAAAACACTGTACTTGGCACTGTGGTCAAATAGTTACGCTGATGCGCTGATCTCGAGCTGCTGTAGAAAAATACATCTTATGATAAACATGGATAATAATTGTAAAGCACTTTAAACCTTAGGCATAAAGCGCTACATAAACATCACATTATTATATATAAAACTTGTAAACATATTATACACGGAACTATTGTATACAAATACATGTACATGCATTAAGTAACCCACGAAAGAAAAATGTTGTTAAAAAGCTTTCTTTGGTTGTTTTATTTTTGGAAGGAGCAAATAAAATAGTGTGGCATGAAATTTGTCAGGCACCTTTTGAATGGAACAAACAAAACATTTTTGAATGAAACAATTTCATTCCAGAAATTGTAGTTTGTTCTAATACAGAATAATCGTTTTGGGTTTTTGTGTCGTCTCGGTTTCGTTTTCCATCGATTCTTTCATGTTCATTTCAGGAATAACGCTCACTCCCTCAGACAAGCCGTTCTTTTTTTTTATTGGAATGCAAACTTTTCACGTTGTAGAAATTAAACCGTTTCCTGCTTGAGGTACATTTCAAACATAGTAACAACTAAAATCATGCCATGTAACTAGACTATGTTGGGATGACATTTCATTTCCTGGAGTTCAGGTGTTTTTGTCAGATCTGAGCTAGTCTTTGCACTTGCCCGGAGCTTAGCCAGAATGAAAGCATGCATAACAACTGCTTTACACAATAACATGATTCAGTTATTTTCTTTCGCAGACTCTATGGATTTACCCCTACAAAGCATGTTGTAACCTCTGCCTCGACCTCTCCAGTAAAATTATAAATAGTACGTCTAGGTACTAGGTACACAGATGGTTGCATTTTGCAATCACACCATTAAATATGTTACTTCCTTCTCGGCAGTACATGTACATTTTAGGTATAAAAAATATGATCCAATCTTTAGGAGCGTGTCTCCTCTTTCTTTTTGAAGAAGACATTACTCCTTAGTCTCACATCTTACCGAAGCACTTTCTTACACAATTATTATAATAATGATGATATTAACTTACTTATTCAGACGCACATTACTTTGTTTTCCGGAAGCCATTTAAAGGTGCAGGTGTAATGTTTTGAAGAGAATGAAAACTCAGTTCAGAGGAAATGACAATAAAAATGTGTTCTAAGTTTTCTGTGAAGTGAATTTGTCTACCTCTCTGAGGTCTAGTGTGTAATATGCTTGAAAAGGATGTAGTTACTATATTTCGTACGTCACATGCAGTGCTTGGGTTAGGTTTATCTGTCGCAAAATGAAGAGAAGCACTCAAGGAATCATAGTAAGAGAAATGGGTTGAAAGAGTGTTCACAGTCTGAGTAAAATGAGTTTTTTCACAAGTTTTTCTTAACTTCACGAAAACAAAGAAATGTCAACACCATAGGTTTGTAACATAGACCATACAATATCTGCATTTTATAGGTCCATCATTTGAATTGAATTTTTTTTTTTTTTTTTTTTCATCATGTGTACATGAATCGTCTAATGATATTATGCTTTTTTAGTTATTTTTTTTTTAGATAAGATGAGTTTTTACATCAATATTAATTGAGATCAGGACATGTTGTCTGTGATTGATGCAAGTTTTATATATTTATATTTACTCGACTTGTAATTTACTAAGTGTTTTTAATGAGCTGTCCAACCATATGTAATTGCCTTTTTAAGGATAAATAAAGTATTTTGAATTGAATTGAATTGAATTAACATAAACATGTGTGTGTGAAGCTTTGGTGTCGCGCCATGCCCAATATCAGATACGCCATTACAACTTGAAGCAAACTAGCTCTCCTAAATCGCCGTTGGGCTCTGCTCGATCAACTTCACCTGGATGGACCCGCGAAAGACACAGGGGTTGATAAAGGGACTGAAGGAAAGGAATCTTCAAGTCCAGAAATTATCCTTGTGAAACAGAGTATCACCATTTATGCAGTCGAAGAATATGTCCAAATTCAGGCCAGTAATTTTCTCGTCCTATATGAACATTTCTGCAAATGTTCCTTTCTGCCAAGAAATGTAGCCCCACGGAATGCACTATACCGGTAGATATTAGGGATTTAGCAAGTCTGTCTTCAAATCAGAAATTAACAACTTCAATCTTTTCGCACTCACAAAGGAGATTCTTCGTTAATATGCTGGCAAGTGTCTATGCCCCATGCGGGATAAACACAGTTACAGAACCAGAATTAATGCAAAGAGATATTTATAATAAAATGAAAGTGCAGGCCTTATAACTATACGTCATGGCTTACTCATCAACATCGTTAATTGTTTGGACAAGTGACCGCCAGAGGGCAAACACAGAGCAACTATTAATATACCCTTATGGCGGCCCCTCTCCTATTGTGACGTGTTCGGCTGAATTGTGTGCCTCCGCAGAAATTCTCTTTTCAGAGTCAGCGGAGCGTGGCATACCCGATGCTGTGAACGGAAACCCGCCATGGTGATTGCGGCATTACTCAACAGTGAGTTGGGCGTGTGGGAATACAGCAGGAATCGCCCTACTTTCGACATGGGGCAAGAAATGTCCCCGATCGAAAACAAGTGTAAATCCACCTGTTACGATCTAATTAATTGAAATCGCACGCCGAGAGACTAAGAGCATATCTGAGCATCTTGTTCGTAGATTTTCGACGGGAGGAGAGGAAAGAGAAGGCAGGTGATCATGGCTAGTCTTGGTTCGTCATCCACGCGAATGTTGCATGCTGGTGGGATTTACACTGTGATTTGCGTTGGGTTTGCTGTACTCATGATGACAGGTAAGATCCAGCATTGTAGTGTGGATATTGTAAATAACTGGACGAGACTGAAACGATTAAGACTGAAAAAGATGACTAAAGTGACCAAGACGATAAAGATGATGGTGATGAGGGAGATGGGAGAATACCGTTACATTAGATAAAACTGTTGCGCAACAGAATAAGTTACATCTTCCCCACTTTGAGAGAAATCCATTTTCTACTCAAGAAAAGGTTGAGCCATAGAACATACACATTTGTGTACATGCACACTTTTTAGTGAACTACCATCAGACCTCTGTTGTCAAGACTGTTTTGTTCCAATCTGCAGGCTGATACAAAACAACAAACACAACGATGTAATTTATGCCAATTTGCAATGTTGACATAAGGTCAAAATTACTGAAATTTCATTTGAAAACGGACAGAATGAAAAATATCGCCTTACCCTACCTTGTCCAAAGTTTTAATATCAGTTCATTTTTGAAGTAACATGTTCTCTTATTTTAATCGAAGTCATTGCCCAAACATTTGATAGTTAATACTTTTTTATTTACCAAATTGTTTTTCGTTTCGTTCCACTCCATTTTACTTTTAATTTCATTAATTTTCATTTCACTACAGTACACTTTTTAAAGTCTGTTTTTTTAAGTACTTTTTTCTTGTCCTATATTTATTTTGTAAGGCTTTTTGATATTTGTTAACTGTGTCAAGTCATGATACTTTTAAAACTATTTTTAGACACAGTAGTTTGTTTAATGTCTTATATTGTCTTTTAATTTTTAGATGTTATGGTTGATTCAACCGCAATTCGGCCTTGTGCCGCTAAAGGTGGATATTATAATAAACCATTATTGAATTGAATTGGGTTTTACTTGTGTCCATCACACGTCAAGACATCACAAATCAATCACAAGTGATCCGATTTCAAGTCAAGTCCCAAGCTATTCATAGGAACTATTGCAAAGGCATTTGTAGATCCCATGTTACTTGTTACTTAAAGGGAAATTACAACATTTGCAAGCATCGAAAAATAAAACTACCAAGTTTTTACGAAATACCTTACAGGATGTTGGTAAATGACAGTCTAAAGCATCCTGTAAAATTATGGCACCTGCATGGTGTGATGTACATTCCCTTTAACTACCGAGGACTGTGGATGGGTTAGAACGTTGACGACGGTGGTTTTATTTTCTGTCCTTTCTTGGTCTAGGGGGTGCAATGGCACAGTGTAATGCGTCACAGTGTGCCATCATCAGCAATACAATCCGCTTCACCGTCGACATCGACAGCATCATGACCGACACATGCTTTGATGATGGTACAACTATCACTATCTCATGCAATCGAGGTTATCAAGCGATGGTCAAAGAGTACAACACCACATGCGATGGCGACACTGGAGAATTTGAAGACGAGGGATCCTGTGAACTCGGTGAGTTTATTCAAGTCTATTGGAAGTTAGGCGACTTGCCAATACCAACATCTTTGCGTCTGTCTCAAGCATAACAAACCGTTGACTGTAAATACTTGCATCCTGAAGATTCGAACTTAGATACATGTCTTCTTGTTCGGAGTATACTAGAGGCTACCTAAACTGAGCAATCACCGAGTCCATCACCTCCCTAAAGTCCCTTGAGTTGTTCAAGGCGGCTATCCAACCTGGACAGAACTGAACACACTCTGCACCCCATGGCGTCATGGGCCATGTTTGGCCTGTTGCCCGAAAAGAAGATGAAGATGAACATGAGAAGTGCTGGACCAAAAAAGAGCCAGCCTGTTGTCCTCTGGATGACTGCATGAGTCACTAACTTGCTGACTAACCATTGACTGACTGATTGACTGACTGACTCCCACACTAAACATAAATTACGTCATCATCTAAGACAATTATGACAATTTCGATTAGGCAAGTTTAGTGGGGGTTTTTGTCACTATTTTATGTGTGTTTTCTCCTTTTCAGATATGCTGACGTTGATCATTGCAATCGTTCTGATGTTGGTCATCCTCTTTGTCTTTATCCTCCTCATTTTCCTTGTACGGAAGAGGTAAACACACCTTTAAATCCTTCACTTCTAAACTATTAGGTGTCCAGGCATAACAAGAATTGGATCGAGTGAGGCAAAAGGACAGGAAATAAAACCCATTTAAGTTTATCATAACCCAAACGCCATCACAATAACAAAGGTGGGCCAAGTACAGCTTTTCAAATTGTAACTCATCGCAACACGAGTAAAAAGACAGATATTCAGTTTGCACCGCTATTCTTAAACCGACCACAGAATTACCACTGCCATTAAAATTTCATCATTAGCAATCTAGCCAAGAATAGGGGCAACAAGATAAAACTAAGAATCGATGTGCAATGAAAACGAACCCCTAGTAAATGCCAAACACAGTCTGGCACTAGAAAAAAAATCAACTAAAACCGACAGTAAACGTGAACAAGACTGGACTTGAAACCGGGACCATACTTGCAAATACGTGGACCTTCCATCGAAACATAGGATGTGACACCTTAAAAATTAAGTCGACCAAAGTTGGACTGGAACATGGACATCGCCGTCGTGTTCTTCACTTACTTGTAGACTCTCACTTATTGAAATGTATGATTATTGATTATATTTTGCAGGTATACCAAGAAGAAAATGAAAGCTATGTACGACACTTCACGGGACATATCAGAGATAATCGACGGGCACAATGAAGAAGGGGGCGTGACCAACATTGCTATGGGCACCATGCCTCCAAGTCCAAGAATTTTAATCCCCATAGAGGACCCATACGACATGCACAATGAGGTGGGGACCCAGACCACGGTTGAGGTTCATTACGCCAACTCGTCGGCTGCTTTGAAAAATGAGGCTCAGTCAGCTGCGATGGGGAACGGGGATATCAAGTATGCTAACGCATCAGCTATGGAGGATTCAGGAGACACGATTGATGGGTATGGTACCATCAACGAGAATGGGATGTTACCGAGCGACCCCCAAGCAGGGAACAGTACGGAAAAACTCATTGATGCAGAGCGTGACGAACCCGATGGACAGGATTCCGCGATAGTCCCGTACGCAAGCATCGGCGACTGGCCACTCAATCGGGCACGAAGGGGGCCTTCCGACGCGTCCCTCGGTGGCAGCGCTAGAGTCCGCCCGGTAACCGCTCCCCCCGTCTTTTCGGACAAGTCAGCTTCCGTCCGGGCGTCCGGTTCCACGGATGGTATACCGGTAGAGGCCGTGTATGCCAAGATCAACAAGGTGAAGCGAGCTTCGGAACGGTGGCCACCAGGCGGCAAGGACCCAACCAGGCCGCGAGGCAGACAGGCTGATCTGGGCGACTTACTGAACCACATCGACAAGCCAAGTCAGAGTTGGTCCCCGCAGAGCGAGGACTCACCAACTCGACCCGAGGAAGAATCCAAGCCAGTAGAGGGCCTGTACGCAGAAGTTCCAGAAAACTTTGCCAGCAGTTCCGTCAAAGTGAATCCCCCTCCACCAGCCCCCAAACCCGCCCGTGACCGCAGCAAAGCTTCGGGCAGCAGACCAATCAAGCGCTACGCTCCACCGTCCCGGTCGCAGACTGTGGCCGGAGACAGCGAAACCGCCGTCATGTACACCGAAGTGGACAAATCACGCCCCGCCTCCACTCCAAATCTCATCCGCAGCAACTTCGCCCCACCCTCCCCTCCCCCAATCGACGGGACGGACGGTCTGTACGCGCAGATTGACCGCGACAGGAAGTCTAGCACGGATGCAATACAGGGTGACCGTGATTCGCCTAACAATTCCGATGAAGGATTTGTGGACCATGGTATCACCACCAAACTTTAGAACCCTCGGTGGCTACCGAACTAAGTGTACTCATCGGATGTTTAAAAAAAAAAAACCCTCACCAAAAAAGGTTCTCCGACTCGATTATGATATCTTTATCTAAAATATTATAAACATTGTACTCAGATAATTTTAAAATCGTCTTCGGCTTCTCCAGACTGTACAATGAGGACCAACTATTAACGTTTACACAGTAATATCCATTATAAGAATACAGTGTATGATACACATTAATATTCGGATGTTTCCTTTAGGTTACGGTTAATTGCCAAACACTTATTACCGGCCAAAAACACTAGAACTCATATCATGTATACTTTTACAAACTCGTATGCTCAATTTGCTCATACAATCATTTTTTTAAAATTATGCATGTACAGTGAATAGGCCGACATAATGAACATTTGCACCTGTTACTATTCACACATGACGGGTTTTGGGGCCCACTTTCTGGATATTTTCCAAGAACACGCCGCCGCCGCTGGTGCGCAACAATTTAACAACAAATCACATCAGCAAAATTAATGTGCATACCACTAAAAGCGAAACCATGTAAAACAAAATACAAATGCATTACATGTTTAAGGCTGTTAATGTGTGATTCTTTGGGAGATTTTCGCTTTTTAGAGTAAAATCAAAATGTATTATATCTGTAAGGAATTTGACATGTACGTAATGACGTCATCTCATGGGATAGAATGTAATTAAATAATTGTACATAAATGCATTGGATCAGAACATTGGTAAACCGACAACTTCAGAATTGAACATTAAATTTTATGTATACATGTATATATATATTGCTCTTGCTATAAATATACTGGAAGGTGCCTTTCAAGAAAGAAAATATGTACAAGTACAAAGGTTTTTATTCAATTAATTGGCCACTGTCAGCTCTGTGTTAAATGACGAATAATAACTGTGTTTACTATGCAATAATATTGTAAATATTTTAATAGTTTAAACGAAGAAAACTTTCTAGGATGAGAACATATGTGATTTGTTTTTTGTTTTTTTTACATGCATTGCGATTTTAAAAAGTATAATCTTTTATGTTCGTTACATGTACAGTCATAACAACAATTATGTTATCTATTTTTATCTATACGGAACACATACTGTCACTCCATGGGCTGTGTCTTCGAATGTACAGACGTTTGGGCCTGGTTTATAGGGTACTAAGACGGAAGTCGAACCGCTGGACGGCAAAAAAAAACGCTCATTCGTATTGGTTGCCGTTAACGATGGGCAATATCGTACATCTTGTTTTGACAAGATAAAAATTCCACAACGTAAAAAGATGGTGCTTCTTCCATCAATTCACCATCTTCATTTTACCAAATACAGAAACATACTCTTTTAAGGTTCTGTAATTAACCATCATTATATCGTCAGTCGAGTTGTTCAAACGGTGTTTGTTGTCCGTATATATTCGTTTATATTTTGTATCATAGTAATCTAACGTAATATTTTTTATTAGGGAACACGCAGAGCTTATATGCAGCAATCATAATTGGATTTAATTTCAAAGTGAAAGGGAGCTCAACCTACGTATTCCTTTTAAGATTTTTAAAGAAATATATAATTACATGTATTCAGTGCATTGCAGTCAATAAATTAATGTAAACATGAAACGAATGGTTACTGAAGTTCACACATGCAAACTGTTTAAATATATTTTCTTGTACGTGTTTTTTTTTTTTTGGGGGGGGGCATTTACAGATAAATGTTAAGACGTGGCCATCTTACATCCACCGCAGAATGTGCACCTTGGATGAAATGGCTGAAAATGGTCACAATCGGCTCAAATGCGTCGATGGGCATTATTGAATTACGGCATCAAGATGCAACCACTACCAACAGTTTCTCACAAAATATTTAAACTTTTCAGCTAACAAAGTATTGGTGATCAATGTATCATCTATATTGCTGTCAATTGTCCATAGCTATTGCTTTTACAACACTCTCCAAAACATTTTATTTGCAAATTTTGCTTGTAAAGTCAATTGCCTGGAAGAGAGCAAGAGTTAGGCCTCATGATCTTCTTTGAAATTTTTTTTCACACTACTAGGGAAACAAAAGGCAACAAACGTCAAAATGGGTGTATTTGAAACATTTAATATCTCCAAAAATTACCTTTAGACTTGTCAGTACAAGTGCATGTCTCAACACACACAAAAACAACTTGTCACTTCCCTAAAAAAAAATCACTGTTCACTGGAATTCATTATAACTGTTCCCCGTCAACCAAAAAAAAATGCACAAAACTCTGTGTCCTTGAATAGACTGTTGGTGTACACAATGCACCTGAATGATCCTGGGTACTGTGTGCATGAATAACAATAGATGTACCGAGCCAGAATGTAAATAATATTTAATAATGCATTCCACAGAGGTCAAAACCCAAAATAGACCATTGACACATTGACATGCACAGTACATGTACTTTCTGTCGATTTTCGTAAGGCAGAGATGATGGCCATGGCCTAAAAAACGAATTAACTGCACTAAGTTTATTTATAATTGAAAGTGGAAAGTTGGATAAACATTGAGAAGGCGAACCTTGCCGACACAATTTTCGACTGTCGCATCTGCTTTTATAAAACGTAAAGTACATGACTTCGTCTTCAGGATCTTTCTTAGGTTGACAACAGAGGGCGCTGTGAACGTTTAATGTGAACATTGAATCAACTTTATTCTTTCAACACGTCAATAAATTAAACAATATATGTATTTTACTGTAGTAGCAAACCATTTACTACAAATGCCACATGCAATGATGCAACATTTTCATTTTAAAGATGAAGGCAATGGTTCATACTGTGTAGCTGATAGTGTTTGCTAAAACGATTCTATTAAGCAGATATCAGAGATCATATATTTACTTATTGAAACCAGCCCATTTCCATTGGGACACAAGACCCCCCTCCTCGTCAAAAAAATTGTCAACTTTTTAATCAAATGCTATGACTGCACACCTGCATACAAGGGGTTCTTGACAAAGAAAACAGGTGTCTGTTGCTTCTGTAGGACGCCCTCTATTGACTGCACCTGTGAAATAAATTTTTGAACTTTTTTTTCACAGAACTCTTTCAGACAATCTGTTTGAAAGTGGGCTCAATTTCAATTTATTATGTGTCAATTAAAAAAATCCCTGTTTGAGGCATAAATTACTCAATAATTATTTTAAGAACAAAAAAAAATCAATGAAAAATTTCTACTTACATTGTCACACCACCTGGATAAATGCATGAACTTTTCCTTTTCTTGAAAGGTGAGTAACGACTACAGAAAGGGGAAAAAAATTCAGAGCAACCTATTAGATATAGGCAGCTATTCAAATTAAGGGCTCAAAATTTAGGAGTTATTTTGGCAGATTTGAAATAACTATTAATACCATTCTTTTGAGATATATGGCTGTGTTTGTTGGTGGGGTTTTTTTTTGGGGGGGGGGATTATTTAATATTTGGTAGGGGATTTCAGTCGAATGCAGTTATCATTTAACCTACCGTCTAGGGGCTAATCTCCAAGACCCCCTTAGAATCACTACACCTGTTACGCCCTTCCCCTAAGTTTGACTGCACAATAGTGCCATTCATCCAACAAATTTAAAAACCTGAACTGTAGATTTAGACTAGACCTGCATCTTGGCAGATACTTACCACTGCTGACCGTACTCCATACATGATCAGCAAATCAGGAAGTGTAACTCGCTCTCCAAGGAAAAAAGTTCTTGTTTCCAGATACGAGTTAAGTTCCTGGAGAAGAAAATAGCATACAGTTAGGGGCGGATCCAGGACTGTTTGTAGGGGGGGGGGGGTTCATCAGCAAATCAATGCTGAAATGTAGACATGTTTTTTCTCCAGAAACTTGGCCTCCGTAAAAATCAATAAGGGGGGGGGGGGGGGCCGGCTCGTACCATACTTTAAATAAAGTCACTCATCTTGTTTCAAGTTATTTTGGGTAACAATTTCAGACATAATGTTCTTTGAGAATTTGTAATGCATATAATGCAACATAGAGATTTTAACAATTAGTGAATTAACACTTTGCCCCATATGTTATTGGTTCAAACCCGGTGCCATTTGTACACTGTCTGACACATAAGTGCATTTTAATTATGTAGCAAGGTGACAATCAAATACAAAAAGGGACAAAAGATACCTTCAGTACTGTTGAAACGTCTTTTTCACTGTGACATCTATCAATTTCTGTGACTCTGTACTCTAACCACTGTGAGACTGCTGCACGCTCTGCGGCATCATTTCCACCAATCAGGTCGCGTCGACCGGCTGTTTTAGCGAGGTAATTGGCTACCGATGAAAGTCCAGTTACTGTCATTCCATTTAAAGTCAGAACTGGGACCTATTGAGTTCAAAATTACAGTATAAATATTGGGACAAGTCAAATTTATTAGGCCTACTCATCGATTTAGGCTAATAGTAACACATGAAAATTGAAGAAAAAATATAAAAATTTAACATTGTTTTAGCATCACTTCATCCATTCTCCCCAAAAAGCCCATGGTCGATAAATATAAAGTAAATTGTGTACTATTATAATATAATTATTCTTAAATAATCTTAGGTTATGATATTATACTTTAATTTAATAGAAAAAAAAATATGTTCACTGTTTTATGCTTTTAACACCAAAGTAGGCCTAGGCTATAGCCATGATAGCTAGGCCGCGCGTAACACAGAGTCGACCCTAGCTGGAGTTACCCAGCCCTGAGTTTTATCATTGGGTTAGCTGGAGTTACCCAGCCCTGAGTTTTATCATTGGGTTGTCTATAAGGGCTGGAGCGAATTTTTCTCAAAACTTGTAGTATTTGCAAAAAAAATTTGAAAAATGTTCAATTTTGTCCCCATTACACACTAATTGCAACTGCAACTCACCCCAAACTTGCCTGGAATAACCATTACACAGGTCCTTGAAGTAAAAAACGATCCACGATGAAGATTCAGCCTCCAATTGCAGTGAAAACAGGAGGAATAACCGCTAACTTGACAACCTTGCTGGATTGGCCAGGACCGCTATTGGTTTGTGCACAAAAAAAATTGTGTACAATGAATGGCGGTCGATTACCATGCACGTACAGCTCGCTGGTACTAGGCGTTTTTGCGGTCGGTGCATGACGTGCGCGGAAGCGTAATACCCGATGACTGTTTCATGCATTAATAAGAGGTTCACTCGCATCACGTGCGGTACTGGAACGGCAACCGTCGAGTTGGCCGGCTATCGTGCATTCATAGTGCAGTGTTACTGCCGTTCCAGTACCGCACGTGATGCGAGTGAACCTCTTATTAATGCATGAAACAGTAATCGGGTATTACGCTTCCGCGCACGTCATGCACCGACCGCAAAAACGCCTAGTACCAGCGAGCTGTACGTGCATGGTAATCGACCGCCATTCATTGTACACAATTTTTTTGGGGAACAAACCAATAGCGGTCCTGGCCAATCCAGCAAGGTTGTCAAGTTAGCGGTTATTCCTCCTGTTTTCACTGCAATTGGAGGCTGAATCTTCATCGTGGATCGTTTTTTACTTCAAGGACCTGTGTAATGGTTATTCCAGGCAAGTTTGGGGTGAGTTGCAGTTGCAATTAGTGTGTAATGGGGACAAAATTGAACATTTTTCAAATTTTTTTTGCAAATACTACAAGTTTTGAGAAAAATTCGCTCCAGCCCTTATAGACAACCCAATGATAAAACTCAGGGCTGGGTAACTCCAGCTAAGTCGACCCTAGCCCGACTGCGTCTGGCCGTACAGTACTATCGCAAGCTCTGTAGTACGGCCAGACGCCCGATGCTTACACAGAGACTGAATTTTGTTGGCCGCCGATGTAGCGATTTTGCTACATCTTTCGATCGCGATTATCTTTTCATCCAGGACACAAATTTCCAAAGTTAAGGTTCGTAGTGGTAGAGCAACTCATACCTTTTCGAAAAAACGTTGTTTGGTCTCAATATTTTCATCCATCTGGCCACAAGACGAATTTCAGTCATCAGATTCCACAAATATCGTCCCCCATGCGATCCCCCATGCGATTTCAAAATGGCGGCCGCGCTGTAATGTATGCAATATGCAGGGGCGCCCGCGCAAACTCATGAATATGCATAACAGTCTGTGACGTATGACCTCGTGTTTTTGGACGTGCGTGCGGCGGGGCCGTACGTCCAAAAACACGAGGTCATACGTCACAGACTGTTTATGCATATTCATGAGTTTGTGCGGGCACGCCTGCATATTGCATACATTACAGCACGGCCGCCATTTTGAAATCGCATGGGGGATCGCATGGGGGACGATATTTGTGGAATCTGATGACTGAAATTCGTCTTGTGGCCAGATGGATGAAAATATTGAGACCAAACAACGTTTTTTCGAAAAGGTATGAGTTGCTCTACGACTACGAACCTTAACTTTGGAAATTTGTGTCCTGGATGAAAAGATAATCGCGATCGAAAGATGTAGCAAAATCGCTACATCGGCGGCCAACAAAATTCAGTCTCTGTGGAAGCATCGGGCGTCTGGCCGTACTACAGAGCTTGCGATAGTACTGTACGGCCAGACGCAGTCGGGCTAAGTCGACCCTAGTGATATTGATAGGCCTAAAATAGCCTGTTTCACATTTAATCATCAAAATCGGTAAAGATTATTACAAACAAATTTACAGCCATACCTTTGTCTCACTGTTAACGTTCACTTTCACGCCTTTGACATCGAGAAATCTAGCCAAGGCCTTCAAATCCTGTTTAATATCTGCCATTTCTGATGAAATTTCTCCTCGAAAAAATATGTGCAGACAAGCAGGTGTTGCTCGTTTAGCGCGGCTAGCGCCCTCAAGTGTCTAATCTAGCGCCCTCAATCGTTAAAACAATGATAAATAAACTGTACATGTCGCTTAATTTTTTTAGATAAAACTAACAAAACCAAATTGTTCTTCTTAATTTTTATGCTGGCAATTAACAGTTTATTCAATATATGGATTAATTGCCTTGTATCGATTTTATGGCTAAGTTTTGTAAATGTCATTCCCAACCAATTTATTCATTTTTTAAATCGTACCAGAGGACTTGATGTAAGTTTATGTTATGACCATTGTTATTGCATGCATTGTACACTTTACCTTTACATTAGTCATGCATACATATTCTACGATCGTGCCAAAACGATAGCCATTTTCCATTGTTGAAAAATGTTAACCCTCTGACCTGGCATAGCAGCCTATTTTTCTCTTTGATTGTATCGGGGACTAAGTCAACAAGATGTCTGGCTCCATTTACCACTACAGTGATTCTGACTATGAGATGGTCGATCCGTTACAGGAGTCTTTGAGTCGGACTCCGGAGAGCGGGAATTCCAGGACAGTGGCGCCGGAGCCAACGCAACGGACGCCCGTAGGCTCGAGCCCACAGAAGCCGCCCCGACCAGCTAGCATGGCCGGAGCACAACCGCGAAACCACAGCGGAGAACAGAGTAGAAGTGTACGTGTGTTTGTGAAGTCTATTTGTTTGGTTGTTCAAATATTGATAAACATACATAAGTTTCTTCAGAACAGGACTTTACAAAGTTTAAACCATGAATGATCATGGCTCCATTTAATAACACTAGACTACAGTTAACTTTTAATATCGGTCATTAATTTAACCACTTCTGTCGTAACAAACAAATACTTGAGTAATGTGGCTACATCATGTAAATTTATGTCTTCAAATTTGCATTTTAGATAGTTTAAACATGTGAAAACCATAATTTTGAAACTTTATGGAAAATTTGAACCTTTTTATGATGGACAGAGAAGTAAAAAAAATTGTGTTGCTTTTTTTCGTGAAAATAAAAATTGGTGATATTACTGCTGATTTATGATTTTAAAAAAATTTGTTGGAATTGTTGCTATTTTTTCTTCGCTTAAAACAAACAACTGTGTTGTGAACACTTCATACTTCTTAATTACCATGTTAATCAACAGTACATTTTTAATTACGTATTTATATATTTAATCAACTTCTTAACTTCTGTTCACTGTTGTCAGTTTAAAAGTTCTAATATAATTCTTTTTAAACCCTTTCTTTTCCTCAAAAAATAGTCTTCTATACAGATGGACGATATCCACATTACAGACCCACGGTATTCTGAAGTTCCTGAACCATACGAAACCATTTCCATCAAGTCCCAACCAGCTGACCCAAATTTCAACGAGCCCCAAGTTCAACCCACAAATAAAGCCAGCCCCAACCAGTACACACCTACTGAACCCAGTTTCATCCAGCCTGAAGACCGACCCAGTACTAAATCCAGCTCCGACCGGTACCAGCCGCCTCAAACCAAAACAACCCAGTCTCAACCGCCTGCAAATAATTCCCCAAGATCAGAACCAATCAACAAAGAGGAACGGAAGAAGGCAGTGCTTGTCAATAAACTCAAAGCAGCTGTAAGTTCTAAGAAACCTCACCTAAAGCTACAAAATACTACTAGCAGTAAACTGTAGTATGCAGTACTTCAGCATATAAGTGGGCACAACACTCATAGTACATGTAGTTATTTAGTCCCACTAACTAGGGCGCTAGAACTCATTTATTGACATTTGGGATGTTGGTCTGTCGTACTAGTATGACAGACCAACATCCCAAATGTCAAAAAAGGAGTTCTAGCGCCCCAGTTAGTGGTACTAGTATTTTTTAGTATTTGGGTGCTGCATACATAATTCTTTGTAGTACTTCGTAGTACATGTATCTGGTACTTTACCTCAAAGTAACTTTAGGTGTGTAGGGTTAATACCGGGATAATAAGTATATTTGGATAAAAAAAGTTGAAAGTACAATCCTACATTTTTAGAATACAAATTAATCTTTTGGACAACTTGATCACTTTAATTTAAGACAACAGAATTGCTGTTGTAACTTGTAAGCATAGCAAAGAACTTATAATGGCCTATCCAAAAAAGAAAACAAATTCCAAGAGATTAAACTTTTATGAAGATTGTCAGCATATGTCAGGCTTAAAAATTCTCAACTAGTTTACAGTGATTTCCTTGATCAGATGGCCTGAGACACAAGTCACCATTTTGAAATTGAATTTTGTTTTAGAGTTGACACTTTTCTGCCTCTATTTTACGTCAGTATGTCAGATTATTTTATCCTTACCTTGGTAAAAATTGAACATCATTGATTGTTCTTTGTCAGGATGAGCCCGATGATGATTATGATGATTACGAAAATTCATTTATGCAACGACACCGCCGTCCCATAATGGTGAGGAGTGTGGAGTTCGTTAAAACTCAAAATTGCAATGATTTGGGTTTGCCTCGCCCACTTACAACTAACAATAACACTCAAGTCCCTGCACTGCCTGGATGTTAACACTAACTTTCTCTAACACAATTCTGCTTGATGAATTACCAGTAAATTTTTATACCGAAACGTTTGCTGTCATGGTTTTGTAACTGAATGATGTCTTATTCCCCTAAGTACTTCCGTCAGGGAAACACAGTAGTTTACCTTGTAATCTGTCCTACAAAAGGACACCATTATAAATTTGATAAATACATTGGCTTGCGATGCAAACCATTATTCTAATGGAGACTGCTCAGTGAAACTGCAGCTGGGCCAGTTATGATATCTTCAATCATTCAGCATTCTTACTTACAACTCTGTATTAAATGTAGGAAATATGTAATTGCTGTCTTAAAGGGAATATACATCATTTGCTTTTGCTGTAATTTTCAGAAATGGTTGGAATTGGGGGTTGGAAATATAAAGCAAATATAGTTACACTGACTTTTTGGAGGTTTTGGGTTCGAAAATGCTATAAAAACCAAGAAAAACGATCATTTTCCTGTAGTCTGGTTCCCTGACTCCATATAAGAAGAAACAGAGCAGTTTACATACATTGGGGAATTGTAAGGTTAGGGAACCAGTCTAGCTGGCTCGTACCCGTTCATAGGTTTGTAATCGATTGTAAACAAGTGCGATGGTCAATTGGGGCCAGTATTTGAAAAAAAAGCCAGTTGTTTCCAACGCTGATCGGCCGATCAGCGTTGGAAATTGATACAAAAATAACACTTTTCTTGAAAATGACAGTATACCAGGTGCCATAATTTTACAGGATGCTTTAGACTGTCATTTACCAACATCCTATTAAGGTATTTCGCAAAAACTTGGTAGTTTTATTTTTCGATGTTTGCAAATGTTGTATATTCCCTTTAAGTCAGTAAAAGTACAATTGCCTGAAGCACCTTGTCTCACCACTATGCCTATCCTACTTGATAACCCAACCCCTCAAACCCCCCCCCCCCTTGTAACATATACCTGCGTAACTAACAATTGTCACATTTATTTGAGTTACGACTAGAAAGTGGGGCATATTTGGCCTAAAAATTTGAAATTTATTATAGTTTATATAGTTGCCTTCAGGAAATCAGAGATTATTCTCAAAGGGAAGAGGCCATTTCTCCTTCTTTTTACCCATACCCTTTTTTGTGGTCTGATCTTGGATTCACTAACCCAAATACTAACAGTAATTTAAACATTACTAACCGCATGCCTGTGATAACATAATCTTTCAGGTGCAAAAAAAAATTGAATGGAATTATAGCATGTACAATGTGTGTAATGCAATTATTGTCTTTTCACAACTGTTTAAAAGCTACACACACTGCATTGTGTACATGTATGTAAAAAAGCTTCTAAAATCAACATTGTATAAATTTCCCAATTTTGAGGTAATATCTTGCCTCCCAGCGACCCAGCCTTCGCTGTTCCGTTTCATAGAAGGATTCCAACATGACTTTATTATATCCTGTATTTCAGGTTGTAGTCTTTCTTCTACTGGTTGCGTTGGCCATAGCTCTTGGAATTGGTGCCAGAAATGCTTCTAGTAAGTATTACTTTTATCAAAACCGAATCTGTCTCAAGGCTTCGACTTTGCAATTTGAAAAGCTCACTACAGAGTTGATATATGAGTTTAGGGGTTTAAGATAACCTGGATTTAATTGGCGTCAATGGTAACAGTGACTTACTTCAAAATTCATTTCAGTCATATTTCAGTTTTGTCGGGGACAACATTTTAATTTGTTGGTCCAGTATGCTCATAATACTCGTTTCCCATTCTCTCTTTTTGAATTACAGTGGTGACCTTTGAAGGATCTTTTTCTAAGAACATCGGCAAGCAGTGTACGCACCTGTGTAAGGACGTGAACAGGTGATTTGCCCATTTACAGACTATTACAGTTGTCTAGCATTCATAAGTGATAACTAGAAAAAACTAGCACTACTCCTTGCTAATTGGTAAAAAGATACAAACCCATTTTTCTTCTGGGTACCATAGCATTTGAAGTGACCAGGGTTGGGATAAAGTCCCCATTTTGTTATCAAGTGAAAATATATATACATACACGTACTCATTGACTGCGTATAAAAACTCCAATTCCAAACAGAGGGTTACTGCTACTGACCACAAAACCATATTTCGGAAAACCAATTTATCTAGTGCATGTTTAATATCATTAATTTGCAGATATTTTTGTAGTTTGTGTTTATTCTGACAGTTTATGTTTATTTTATTTCCAGATATTCTACTCCCCCGTTGGTTGTGATTGCACTGAATGGCTTTCAGAGTGGTTTCTTTAGGCACCAGTCCCTTGTCAGTAACATGGCACGCCTGGGTAAGTCATGTGACCTGTATATTAGGTCTTGCATAGTTTATTTAATGACACGACACTGGCCAAAAAAAGTGGGATCTATATAGTTTTACAATGCAAAAAGAAAAAAAACAGAGTGTAGGTAAGGTTCGTCCTGTGCTTCACAGATTTTTTTTTTTTCAGAAAAGTAACATGGCATTTAAAAAAAAAAAATAACATGGCATTTAAAAAAATTGAAAATTTAAATTACGTCTTTAATTCCACCCAAGGTTAGTCAACATTTAAATGAATCCACACTACTCACTAGATTCAGTCTTGTGTTTTATATTTGTAGATTTGTTTGCTTGTTAATTTAACACTTGAAATATTTTATTGAAACTTTGAATTATGCTTCTATTTCAATCTCAGCTGAGTGTGGTGTTCATGGTAACACTATTCCATCCTATCCATCAACGGCCATACCCAATCTCTATTCTGTGGTCACAGTAAGTACAAACTCTAAGAAATGACCATGTCTTGATTACATTTTGTTTTTATCAGCTTACTCATCAAGAAAATATTCCTGGGTTTTGTTCTCTCGCAATATTCATCCACTGTCATTAATCTTTCTTGTTTGCATTTGTTGATAAGAGTTTACTCATCAATTTTTGATAGATGTTAACTTATTATAGATGTTACGTAAATTTGTTGGTGGAAAATCATATTTTAAAGTAGAAATATTGTTTGATTAGTCTTAATTTGATAAAATATTTAAATATTATGAGAATACGAGGGCCCTAATGATGAGCATGAGCTACCGTCATTGAATAACATTTTAAATATTAAAATATTCAATAAAAGTATTTACTGTTTTCATTTTATTAGGGTATCCATCCGGCGTACCATGGAAAAGCTTCCGATTGGCTGAGAGCCTACAGCTTGAATGAGACAGAGTTTGGTCCAGCTGAACATCCGAATACCTACAGCAGAATGGATCCCAAATGGTTCCAGTTGAATGGGGTGAGTTGACGCTGTTGATTGTTAGATAACAATGTATTATGTTTGCTCACTTTGCTGCAGTCATAAAAGACATGAACTAGAAAGGCTTTCCAACAAGGGCTTTAAAACTCATATCAGGCTGGCTTTCTAGAGCCACAAAGTATTGGCAACAATCCAAATAGATCTTGATTAGGCCAAAAAGAAAAAATATTCGGTCTCTGGTCAGACCAAATTTCTGGAATTGACGCGGCGACGCGGCTTTTTTTTTTTTTTTTTGCTTTTTTTTAATGCAAAGTTTATATTTTAATTTTCTGTTGACTAGACTGTCAACGACAAAATTTTGCATGCGTACATGTAGTTGCTCCTAACTGTTTCAAAGGTCATGCTTAATTTAAATCTAGAAACTAGTCAGAAACAGTTGTTACACATTTTACAGATTACTGAAAAGTAAAGACAGGATTTTCAGCAGTTTTTTTCTGCTGTTCCTTCCAGCTTTGGGGCATTGCTGCAGACCAGGGTCTTCTGACTGCCAGTCACTCATGGATCGGACGAGAGGGCGACATTGATGAAGAACGACCTCCATCGCCATCTTACTATCAGACATATGACAGGTGGTTATAATTAGATTTATTCTTGAAATGAAACCAAGGAATCAAAACAGCACAAGCACTGTAGCTTGGAAGCCTGAAAAAAAACCAAGAGGGGGAAGATGAAGAAAATGATGAAATGTTCAGGTTTAGAGAGGGGGGGGGGACTGCTGGGGAAACATTCCAGAGAAAATCCATTGAGTCAGGTAGGGATTGAAAACCCAATATACATGCCCGCTCGAGTGGGATTCGAACCGGAGTCACAGAGGTGGAAGGCGAGGAAAGTACCGCAGCACCAACCAATAGAGTTCAAAGAAACAAAGAGGTTAATGACCTACGCTAAGTTTGCATTATTAAAGAAGATAAGTTCGGAAGAGAAAAGGAGGATCTGAGTGGCTCACACTTAAGAGGAACACAGATTCAAATCAAACTGCACACCAGCAATGCCTTTTATTCTTCGGCAAGGGAGTTGACTGCACTTGCATACATCAAAAAGTAAAATATAAGTATTCTTTTAATATTCTGAGGAAGTAACGGACTGAAAGTATGTAGAACGTGAAGTATGTGTTTGTCATGAAAGACAAATGTTTCTGTATGATTTACATGGACCACTTTTTTTCTATTCCAGTGGAGTTGACTACCGCAATCGAATTCAAACAGTACTGAACTGGTTAAATCTAGACCCATCAGAAAGGTAAGAGTAGTTGAAATTTATCGTTCATTTTATTGATAGCAACTTTGGTTGAAGTTAGAGCTTATGTTAAAAAAAGGATCTGAAATTGAATGTACTTTAATGTTGTGTTTACTCACCTTGCACTCAGATCATCATCTGTTAATAAAAAAAAATACTTTGAAGATCTCTTGGCATTTTCATTATCTCTTAAACTGACTGACGAACTGAAGCTTGTTTCAGCGCTTTCCCTACCAAACATATTGGTTTGTCTTATTTTTTTGCAGACCGGATTTCATTACCGTCTACTTTGAAGATCCTGGAGTAACAGTTCAGAAGTATGGTTTAGATTCTGAGCAGGTAAATGCATCAAACAACAATTTAAGTACCTTATTAGCCCATTAGCACTGAACTGTTACATTGTCTTACATTGTATTACATTGTATAACATTGTCTTACATTGTATTACATTGTATTACATTGTATTACATTGTATTTATCTCTATTGAATCCCTAAAACCACACAGTGCTGGGCGGTCAGGGGCATTATAGGGAGTTACGGCTGGACAGTTGGGGATACAGGATCTAAAACTCTTAATATGATGATTTATTTACAACTTAATAAAATTACTACTATTTATATGATGTGATTTAACCAAATACAATTTCAAAGTCAAGTTGAGTATTGGAAGTTGATGAGTAGTTTCCCAATAATTTAGGGTGCTGTGGTCCGATGGTTACGGTGTTCGACTCGTGTGCAGTGGTGCATGGGTTCAAATCCTGACTGTGGGAACATGGTGCTTGTGCTCTTGAGCAAGACACTTGACCATTATTGCTTCGTCCTTCGGAGTGGGACATAAAGCCGTAGGTCCCGTGTGTTGTGTAATGCACGTTAAAGAACACAGTAACACTTATCGCTAAGAGAAGGGCTTTGCCCCAGTGTTTCTAGCAGTGGCTGCAATATGCGCCGCAGCACCTTGTAAACCCTTATAAGGTGCTACATAATGGCTCTCATATTTCTCATGAACTTTATTTACCTGTCTTTAATAATAGACATAATTTCCAGCGCCTTGAGTACCTAATTGTTGGTAGATACGTGCGCTATACAAATCTCCGGTAATATAATAATTGTTGTCCTACTCAACAGACCATGAATAGCCTAGCCAGAGTTGACGCTGCCATAGGCAAGCTACTAGACGCCATGTATGAGGAGTCGAATCTTGGATGTATCAATGTCATGGTGGTATCAACAGGAGGCTTAGCAGAGAGAAGCTGTGATCGGACCTACTATCTTATTGATGTAAGTTCTAAAAAAAATAGTATGCCTGATTTTTAAGCTGTGAGTTAGATTTTTTTTAGTCGGCCATTACAGTGTTTAACAAACGGGACAAAAAGTATGGTTTAACTCTAACCCCCTAGAGTGATTTACAAGAAACCTTCCTCACCCTTGAAAATTCCAACACTATGTGGTATTAAACTGTACACATAAGCAGTTGGACTCCACCAAACTCTTGTGTTAGAATTTGGCTGGATGGAGATCGTTAGGGTTAATGAGTGATTTAAATATCTGTAATGGAAAAGCAGTGCCATATATATGGAAACTGTAATGTTAGAATTACTGGAGTGCTAACTCTCAGACAGACACTATTTAGTCATACCGGGCTGTGGTTGGATTCAATAAAGACGTTTTGGTATAGTGCATACAGCTATGACGACAAGATGCAATTTCTTTAATTTAGACATTCTTTATGTTGTCTGTTCACCTCAGGACCTCCGGGATGTAGATGATTTCACGCTGCTTCCTGACTCAGTGACTTCTGTAGGAAGCATAACTGCAACTGACAGAGGTACATCAAGATTCAATTTTATTATTATTATTATTTATTTATTTCTAATAATGAAACCAAGGATTCCTCAAAAGTGCCCTAGGCACTGTAGCTTGCAAGCTGAAGAAACCTGTAGAGAGAAGTCAATGAGAAGAAATTACAGTTTTGGAAGGTGGGAGGAAAAGCCCAGAGGAAAAACCCAATCCACGTGTTGGCCCAGGCGGGATTCGAACCCGGGTCACAGCGGTGGAAGGCGAGGAAAGTACCGCTACGCCAACCTGATTCCCCAATGCATAGCTCAAGATAAACCAGCATACATTTCTAAGTAACTTATTATACCAAATTTTATTATAATGTATTGTATATTACCATGCTGGTTAAATAATTTGGTTTGGGGCAATGAATTATATTTATTTTTAAATTATCAACAGCTCCATCAGAAATGGACACTTCAGAAGAAATAATGGAACATTTGCAGGTAGGCGTTGCTATTTTCTATGGACGGTTACAGTCACAGCAAAACTGAACCCCAAAATACTCAATTCTGAAACAACCCAGGCATATAGTCATGTTAGCAAGTACAGACTCTTGCATTCTCTCTGTTCTGATTCTGCCTTGCCTTCTTAGAACTAGACAAAGATGGCTGCTACTTATTATTTCATTTATCCAATTTGTTGTAAGGAGGCTAAAAGTCAGATAGATACCTGTATATAAATCATCTTCACAGACAGATATTACATTTGCATGTCAGACCTCTGAGAACAAGACCCAATGTGATTCAAATAATACTTTTACCCCATACAGTGTAAGGTGGATCACGGTCAGGTGTTTACTAAGAGACTGCTCCCTGTACACCTGCATTCCTCTTATGGCCTCCAGTATGAAGACACAGTGGTGCTGATGGACGAAGGATGGACATTTGCAAAGTAAGACTCCACTTCAAATCAATTTACACTTCTACTGATCAAACAGTGCCATTAACCAATAAAAGCTGGATTTTAGTCAGGTGACCACGGTACCTTGGTAAAACTCGGTCCCAAGCATTGTGGTAAATTTACACAAACCAAACGTGTGGGGCTCATGGCTTAATCCAGAACGGTCCATTGTCAGGCTTCATTTGAACTTTTACCTTAAACAACGTTACAAGCTAAAGTATTTGTTAGTGTTCGAAAAACATGACAAGTCAGATTTTGAGGGTCTGATCTTTTTGTGTGTAAGAAGCTTAGTATAATTTGTTTCTGGTATGGCAGGCAAAGTGTTGTACTAACTGGGTAGTAGACACATTTACAGTCTGTCTTTGTATCTTTAAAATAAAGGGGACGAACCTGTGTTAACAGGAACGGAGTGCCCATATCTCTTTCTTTAGCGATTAGGCCAGACTCATATGCTGCTGTGGGGGATCGCCACACCTCCTCCACAGCGAGTCTGTTACCTTCCCAGCATTGAATAATGCCGGTACCCATTTAACACCTGGGTTGAGAGGAGTAATTGAGGTAAAGCGCCTTACTCAACAGCACAACACGCATGGCCACGGCGGGGCTCGAACCCACAGCCATACGATCATAAATCCTGTGCTCCACCGTTATACCACCTGTTACTAATTTTTCCTACCTTTCTAACTCATTATGTTTACCTCGCATTTTCCAGCAATCTTTTTTTTTACAAATTTCTGACAGGCAACAGGAAGGCTACGATCGTTCCAACTGTAAAGGTGCCTCTGATGGCTTCAACCCATACAGCTCAAATATGCAGGTATCTACCGACAGAATTTGAGGTGTATCAGTACTTCATTGATGTAAACAATCCATTAAAGGGAATATACATCATTTGCTTTTGCTGTAATTTTCAGAAATGGATGGAATTGGGGGGTTGGAAATATATAGCAAATATAGTTACACTGACTTTTTTGAGGTTTTGGGTTCGAAAATGCTATAAAAACCAAGAAAAACAATCATTTTCCTGTAGTCTGGTTCCCTGACTCCATATAAGAAGAAACAGAGCAGTTTACATACATTGGGGAATTGTAAGGTCAGGGAACCAATCTAGCTGGCTTGTACCCGTGCATAGGTGTGTAATCGATTGCAAACAAGCGCGATGGTCAATTGGGGCCAATATTTGAAAAAAAGCCAGTTTTTTCAAACGCTGGTCGGCCGACCAGCGTTGGAAATTGATACAAAAATACCACTTTTCTTGAAAATGACAGTATACCAGGTGCCATGATTTTACAGGATGCTTTACACTGTCATTCACTACCAGTCCAGCAAGGTATTTCAAAATGATTTGGTAGTTTTATTTTTTGATGTTTGCAAATGTTGTATTTTCCCTTTAATCTAATGACAAATATGACAGTAAATTCAGTGATAAAATGACAGAGACATCAAATTAAGCACTAGTGCAGCATTTAAGTTCTTCAGTTTGGAAACGTACTTTAATCAGGCATGCAACGTTTCCTCAGATCCGCTTATTTTTTCGTTTTTAACTTCTCATGAATGCCATTACAAATTGAAAAACACTGTACGAAGTCTTTTGTGGTTTGGAATTTCCTAGTATTTTCTAAATTCCCAGGTGCATGCCTGTTTAATTCCTTAGTAAGATTTAAATCTTCTGATTTTCTTCAGGGAATGTTTGTTGGTTTTGGAAAGAGTTTTAAGACAGCCAAGACCGTCCCAGCAGTGAGGAATGTTGACTTATATAATCTCATGGCAGGTAGGAATACTTGACTACTTTATACAAAATACATCAGACTCACTCTTAGTTTACAAGGCAACAACACATCATTTTGTAAGAATTACTTCTCAACTTGTTTTGATCCTGCATCAAGGATATCCCAAGGACTGTTACACACCGGCAGATCACACAGGAGTGATCTTAGCCACTTTTAAAGTTAAGAAAACTTATCAGTCTAATCATCTTAAGCCTATCACAGTAAATGGCTTAAAGTTAACCAGTGGCGTAGACACGTGCCCCCCACCCCCAGCAGATGTCCGTGCTCAACTCCCCCCCCCCTTTGAAATCTTGAATTTACACAAATATACTGCAATGTTGAAATATGTTTCTTTTGCTTTTAGTAACCCCTACACCCTTCCCCCCCCCCCCCCCTGAAAAATAGATGTACCCCAGGTTCCTCGCAGAAGTTTGACTGTAGTTATGCCGCTGAAGTTAACCCTTACACATCTTTTCACAGAACTCATCAATGTTACACCACGGGACAACAATGGCACAGCAGGCATTTTGAGTGATGTTCTGACATCACCAACGACGCAAGATACGGTTGTCATGGAGTTCTCATCTCCAAGGAATGCAGACTGCAGTTACCCAGCAAACGACAACGAATACGATCAGAGGCAGAGAGATTCGGCTACAGGTTGCGTCTGCACACAAGCAACGCTGGATGTAAGTTTACCAAAACTGGAAGAATTTTAAATAGATATTTTGTGGTGTGTATCTTTTATGAGATGAATAAATTAACCACGATTTGTTAAAAATTCTAATGATCTTTGTTTATGTCGCCTCTGTCATTGTTATGATTGCTGTGTATCATTGTTTTAAGCTAAAGTTTTTCCCTCTAATATGTGTCTTGTTTTCAAAGCTTGTTAGATTTGTTGTTGTTTTTGTTTCCGTAATGTGAACATTCCTTCTCCCTTTTAGTTATGGCAAAAAGAAAGATCATGTATGATAAAGTTCTCTATTTATTTTTCAGTCTTACCCAGAAACTAATGGCGTTGTACTGAAGGATAAAGATGAAAATATCAGACAAACAAATGGTAAGTGTAATTGATATCAATAAAACCTATATGAGGAGTAACAGGCAGGTCGGTTTGGGGTGGTACAGGTGGTAAAGGGTTAATTCAAGGTATACTTTTGTTTACTTTCAGCTGCAAGTTCCAGACAGAGAAATGCTCCCTTTGGTTTCCCCAAGATCTCGAGAAACGTCGGACCCACAGGGCAGGATTACTGTGAGCTGTATCAGTACAACTTCATCACTGCATATGAAAACAGACTAGAAATTCCTCTATTTGCCACCTTCACTATGCAAAGAAATGTAAGTTAACTTTGACCACTGAGTGTACAGTGTTATACGTTGGTGAAGTCCAAAATCTAATATTGATTTACATCACCCCGACGCAAATATATCTTATGAATAACCTATTTGAATAAGTTCAAGTCATTAGCAACGTCGACAGTCCACATGCAACTAATAATATTCTCTTTTTTATGTTTAGGCTGGTAGAGTCACACAGATTATAAACTGTCTGCGTTACGATGTCAGACTACAACCTGAGAAATCACCAAAATGCTCCAATTACGACAGTAATATGAATCCAAGACTGCCAATCGACGTGGTACAGGGATTGCTCTATGATCCATGTAAGTCAAGGGATCAAATTCGTGTTCATTTTCCTATTCTTTTGAAATCACGTTTTTTAATGAAATTTTGAAGATTGTGATAGGAATTTTGTTTGGTTGCAGGAAAAAAAGATGATCGAAGTGTAAGATGTAATAATCATGATTAGTGCAAACATTGGTCAGTTGCATTTGATTTTATTATTTGGTCTTTTAGGAAAACTTGCAATGCAATTGTCCCTTCATGTTTGTTTGTTGTCTATTTTTCAACTGATTTCAGCTTTAGCGGATTCTGTGGACAATGAGTTGAATGCGCTGACATCGGCCAACATTGTACCTATGTATACTGCTTTCCAACAAGGTCAGTGTACTTTACACATTAGCGAAAAGTGGGGTTTGTTAAATGTTCTAGCTCAGTTTAAACCTTCTAGCTCAGTTGGTCTGTGATGTAAGCAGGTGATATGGGTTTCACAAGTGATTTGTTAATCACAAGTTATCACAAGTTCAGGCGTGCAACTTTTCCTCGCATCCTCTGATTTCCTTGTTTTATACTTCTCACGAATGCCATCACAAATTGAAAAACACTGTACAAAGTCTTGTGTGGTTTGGAATTTTCTTGGTTTTTTTCTAAATTCCTAGTTGCATGCCTGCAAGTTTAGCACTGCAGCGATAACTACATGAATGTCGAGCAAAGTATTGTTTATAAAATCATACTTGCCCTCATTCTAGAACTCCAAATTTTAATACACTACAAATTTTAAGCAATTATCATCCAGTTTTTTTTAATTGAATTATTAGATGTGTGGCTGCCATTGGCCGGAAAGATACGCCAATGGGCCAATCATGACAACCGATCAGCCGAGATGAACGTTGTGATTGGTCCAGTCTACGATTGGGACTCTGACACGTTGCAGGATACTTACCGCGATCTTGCAGCAAGGTAATTCAAATTCAGCAGTTAATTGATTAGGAAACTGGTGTCTTGTTCCTGGTATCCATTCCTACTAATAGATTGTACTGTGTTGACTCTACTGGCCAGGACAACCTGTTGGATATTTCATGTTATAGTACCGGTATATCTTGCAAGTCAAATTACTGCAAATTGTTGATGAGAGATGTTACCTGTATTCAACCGTTTGTCAATCTTTTTTCAAAATCAATATGAATATTATTGCCATCCATCCCATTGAGCAACCGAAACAATCATACGATGAACCTGTGATTCATCAATACATGTAGTGTTTTTTCTTTTTTTGTATAACGCAATTCAGTACGGGATGGACTCTCATAGTGCTTAACGTCATTAAAGCACTAAATATCAAGCATGTGTCTCATCTGTCATGTCTGACAAACTTTTGATATTACTTGACAATGTTTTCCTTTTTTCTATTCCCAAATCCTTCTCAGCCAAGCCTGGGTCGTAGACACTCCCGTCCCATCTCACTACTTCATCGTAGCTTCAAGATGTAAGGAAGACGTCAGCTTGAACATGTGCCCCCTACAGTCTCTGGAAGTGATATCCTTCGTTGTACCTCACACAAACTCCGTCAGAATCTGCAAGGTATGTTGAAAGGTCTTGCAAAAAATACATTCCTTGCTTGTACATGGGCCTGTGTTAGATCTGAGCCAGCAATTTGTGGGTCAACAGCTTTGTCTTTTAACATTGACCCTAACCCTCATTAATCTTCCAGAGGCCTCCGGGCAATTATTTTGGAGGATTGAGGCTAAATGCAACGTACAATTTTGGAGGATTGTGGAGGATTGAGGGCACATGGACATTCAGTACAGGTCGATTTTAGAGGATTGAGGATCAATGCATTTTGAGAGGCAAGACTGTAGGATGATTTTGAAGGTATCAAGGGAGTGGGTATCCTTCATTTGTACAAAAAAGCAACATTTTGGAGGATTTCAGAGGATTGAGGATAATCCCTAACAAAACGGGCCTAGGGAGTTAACAGACTGCACTTTCACCTGGAAAACTTTCACAGACACTGGTCAAAATAGACCCTTCCTGCCTGTCAATCAAACAGTGGCATCCATCAGATAATGACTTATGGTGATAGTAACAGATGCATTCAAAATCCATCACTAGAACCGAAAGTGGCTAGGCTTATGACCAAATCCGGAGCAGTTCGTAAAGTAGCCTTTTATAACAGTCTTTGAGCTGCCTTTTACATGGAGCTCTAATTCAAAAAATTACTTCGAGACATGCTCGTCATGCATTTCCTGAAATTTTCTCCTCAGACTTTTGACGACTACTTGTCGACCCACTTGACATCACTTCAAGACGTGGAGCTGATCTCGGGACTACAGTTGTTCCCTGACATGAGCACAAATGAGGAGCTGAAGATGGAGTACCTTCGGTTCAAAACCAAAATGCCAACAATGTCACCCTGGATGATGTAAATCACATCTTATTCAAGTGAGTGATACCCTATTGCCAAAGTTTAAGGGAAGAGTTTGATCTTCCAAAATCCTCAAGGGAAGATGGACAAGGTTAAAGGCTGGAAAGCTCGGTTGGATAGAGGTTTTGAAAAAGTTGCAGGTTATAACTCTAACTCCCTACTGTCTTTTACTAAGTACTGGACCAAGTCCGCCAAAATCAATCAATCACACAGATTCCAATGCATGCTTTGCTTTAGGCCTCCAGGCCCAAGTCCATCATACTCCATCAATATTTAGTCAAACCCGGTCTGCAGGACCAAGTCCCCCAAAAATCTACCAAAATGGAGGGATGGATTTTGATGGAGTTGGGAAGGTTTGGGTTAATCCGGCTTTAGTCAACTGTCTTAATTCTGAGAGTTTATACTTCGCTCTCAAGGGACGATGATCAAATGTGACTCAGGTTGAGTGTTGGGTTGTATACTTGAAATGGATCGCTTTTATTACAGAGAATTAATGAGAGGCTAAGTTTAGATTAGTTTTACAGTCATCGGAACAAGGGTCTGACTTGTAACTTGACCCCTCTAATGTCTACGCATTCATTTTTTTCACTGCTCTTGGGAATATATTCCATTTGTTTTTAAGATATGAATTACAGTACTACAAAAAAAGATGTAGATTCTGTGCATCTGTCACTTACGTTAATGTTTTAGGTGAGATGAGTAAATAAAGGTAAAGTTGGGAAGCTTGATGACCGTCTTGAGGATTTGTTTACAACTTTGAAACCACCTTGATCTGTCTCTTGTGAAATTTTCATAAGTTTGAAAATTAAGATTTCTTTCTTTTTGTAAGTACTGTTATAAGATGGAATTTTGCATCGGGGCGATATAAATCAAATTTAGGTTTTGCCCTTCACCGATGTTTACTGAGTATTCAGTGTTTAAATGTCGGTGAAGGGCAAAACCTAATTTGATTTGTAAGTACTGACAAAAAAAAGAAGTCTTGTTTTGGTTCAACTCAGCTGGAACTCAAAAGTAATCCTAGGGTTTGCCAAAATTTGAAGCTTATGCATGTCAACTGTAAATGGATTTTGTTTTCCCATGGTGAAAAGAAATTTAAACAAAGTTTTGACAATTGATAAATGTTAAAACAGTCTGTATTTATGCATATTTCTCTGCACAGCTGGAAGTCACCTTTTAGACATTTTACAAATTACATACACTGATTTATTCTGGCTGAATACGTGGAAAGAATTTATCTATGGTGACTGAAAAGTCCCTGCCTGGTGTATATTTTTGTGAAATATTAAAATATTATAATGGCAGAATAGAAATAATAGTTGGTTTGATGCTTTGTTTTAGTTTTCAGCTGCACAGATAATTTTGATTATGTAATAGTTTTCTTTTTCATTTGAGTATTTCTTTAACACAATTAATAGGCAGGTCATTTAAATATTGTTTATTTTTAGGAAAATTCCTCCTTTTTTTTCATAAGTTGTCCAGTAGCATTGTTAACCTTAGGATCTTCGGCTTAAATTTGAGTAACAATGAGTAACTTTTTCGGAAGGTTTGCTTACATCGAAATGTATCCATTCTGAAATTTGAGAAACTACTCTACAATTGCATTCTTTTTTTCTATTTATAGTTTAGAGCAACATACCAAAGCACTTTCTTCCAGATTATCTTGAATTGAACCACATGTCATAAATCGGTACTAAGTCTCTCAGATTTAGAGTTTGTATTTTTATATCAGGTTTGGAAGAAAAAATATTTTTAGCTTAATGTAGGGCATAATTTTCAGCAATATTGTAATGATCATCTGTAATCAAAAGATCATAAAAGTCGGAATTCATTTTCACTGACTCCAACAGGGTCTTTCATTATTTTGGGAAAACATTTCAGTTATTTGTTTATTTATTGGAAGTAAATAACCTAATAACAACATTCTCTAAAACATTCCGCGCACATGGTATTCATATTAGATTCTTTTTATCAATGTAGTTATTTGGTTGCTAAAAGTCAAAACATTTTAATGTTATTCAGAGTGGCTGTAAATATTTTATAACGAAGCTCTATTTTCTGATGAAGGGTATTCATGTAGGCCTATAACTGTATATATTGGTGCAGTACTAAAATATGTAGGTGTGACGATTGTATGTGTATATTTTGGAAAATACTCTAATTGAACAAACTCTACCATTATATCTCCAATATGGTACTTTTTAAGATGTAAACGAACATCACAATTAGTAATGAAACTAATTTCATTGATCGATTCAGGAAATTAATCTTCAAACTCTACTGAAATAATTATTATTCGCAGATTGTCAGTTTCAAAACTGAATACAAAGTGGCTGGTTGGTTCTAAACAGGGCAACGATCAAAGACCAGAAATCTTTTTGCACCTCAAAGTTTCATATGAAGTTTTTCATGTTTTTCACTTAAAAGTCATGCTTCGATTTAAACACATGAACACTTGTAGTTTAAATTCCTATGCTCACATGCGTAGTAGCTTTCTTGCAGGTGTTTGAAAATAAACACAATTAAACAATATCACTTTCTCAGTGTAACTTTTATTTTGTCAGCAGGTGTTAAGCTGTTATTACTCTTTCAATGTAAGTCCACAAGAGGGCGCTCTTCAACTGCACCAGGAAAAATCAGAAGTCATTCCTGCCAGCTTAACAAAAACAAGAAAATCAAAACTTCCTTTGTGACAATTGATCATTATGTAATTTAATAAGGTTATCACTGGCAAAATCAAGATGGAATATTGGGCAGCACTCGTTGATGACTGGACGACTCTTCAAGCTTGTGATGGCCTATGTTATCAAAATTCATTTTATATTTATTGGTAATTTCAAAAGATTTGCCCTAAGGTCTGTCATGATGTTGACCTCAGTCGCGAAATACATCAGTGTGCAGCGTTTCAAAGTCTTAATGTGTGCTCATATACTGACAGAGGATCGTGATCTTGACCTTGATCATCATGACATCAGTCGACGTCACTGCTGTCGCCTACGTCATACGTCATTAATATAAGATGATGTCACTTATACATGTCTCTACCTCTTTAATATCTGACAGATTTACATGCACATGTCTACATTAATAAATACATGTATACGTAATCTAAATATATTATAATTGTGTTCTGACATCACAACTACATCATAGCTGGTTTAATTTGTTGTTTTATTTTAAAGCTGCAATCTCATGATATTGATCTTGTGGGATTCTCATCTTAGGTCGCATTCAGGATACTCAGATCTCTGACCCTTGACCTTAGATGTTTTTTGGATCCCTGATCTTAATCATGATTCCTATTCATATTTCAGTCGTCGTCATCATCTTTAGAATTAATTATCATAAATTAACTTGTGTTTCTCTGTCTTTCTTTACTTGTAGATCTTTATTCTTCTCGATCTGTAACAATTTCTGTCTCTATGATCGTCATTAGGCTCAGCTCTCATTCTGTAGAGTTGTCTCCATGACGTTATATCCTCTTCTTTCAAGCGCAGTTTTCTTCATTCTTTAAAAATTGTAAAGGTATCTTTCTTGAAGGTATTAACGTAGACACATATGTAAAATTATATGTCAATATCAGAGTCTTTTTTTTTAATTGGTTGTTCCCGCCTCTAAGACATTGTATCTTCAGCAATGTGCGACCGCAAGATGGCGCTCTTCAAATTATCATCTGAGGTCCTCACTGCCTGAATCAAAAGAAAAGAAAAGAAAACATTGGTGTTGTACCATACCTTGTGAAAAATAGATCATTTTATTACAATTTGATTATGAGAACTCATTGGCAAAGAAAACATGGAATAATTAGGCAGCAATATCTGTGGATATTATTATAACAATTCTTCCAAATTTAATGAGTAGGCCTATGATATATGATTCGTTGGTAATAATTTTAAAAAGATTTTGCCCTAAGGTCTGTCATGATGTTGACCTCAGTCGCGAAATACATCGGTGTGCAGCGTTTCAAAGTCTTAATGTGTGCTCATATACTGACAGAGGATCGTGATCTTGACCTTGATCTTCATCATGACATCAGTCGACGTCACTGTTGCGTCATGTCACGTCAAAATAATGTCATAAATATATGCCTAAAGTATTTCACTTATATAAAAAAAATACATGTTCATGCACATGCCTACATAATTGAACACATGCATACCCGATTAATAAACAAATGAATATATTCTATAACTATTGTGATGTATACTTCATGACTACGTCATAGCTGGTTTAATTTGTGGTTTTATTTTAAGCCTACAAGTTCATGATATTGATCTTGTGGGATTCTCATCTTAGATCGCATTCAGGATACTCAGATCTCTGACCCTTGACCTTAGATTTTTCGGATCCCTGATCTTAATCATGATTCCTATTCATAAAGTTAATACAGTCGTCGTCATCGTCCTGAGAAATAATTAATTATATTCTTGCAAGATAACTGCCTCACATGGGCCTTGTGTCACATCAGTGTCCATTAAGTTCATCTACGCCTAAGACTTATTTTAACATTTTCTTTGGAAAACATTCTTATTTGTGAATTGCAGTTCATTATGCGTCTTCATTCTTTGAAAATTCTTGACGAATGCTGTTTTTTAAACCGGCTCTGCAACCTCCCCTTTACAATTTCCCATGGCTGGTAAAATTTCAGGTTTTTCTTATCAAGAAGCTGTACATAGGCCTACATGAAAAAATCCCCTTTATGCAGCTACGTTACTGACGGTATAGCGCTTACCGGTCCCGTCTTTACGGCCGGTTGTTAACTAATACATATTTTGCGTTCCTCATGATAAACCCTTGAACCTCGGTCTCCTATCAGTTTATAGGTTTGCCTATTGAGCGAAAATTAATACTTGGACGTTGAGTTCTTCACAAAGGAACACAGTAGGTCAAGCGACCGTCCGGTAAAAATTACTGAGAGTGTTTCATTTCGGTTCATAAGTTATCGTACGCTGCACTTCTCCTCGACTATGCATGCCTTGAAATTTGACGGAGCAAAACAAACATTTCACCTCGAATATTGCCGTAAAATTACTGAGCAAAACGAACATGGCGGCAGCTTAAAAGTTCTCCTCGGTTACCTAAAATTACTAACCTAGTCACTGTTGTCATACGCATCCATTTCAGAATTATTTTATCGCCGAAAAAGAAAGGATTTTTAAAACAAAAATACTTACAAGGCGTGTAAATGTACGGCGTCCATCTTGAAATGCAGCGGAGCGGACGAAAGTCAGACGACAGGTTCAAGGCGGTAATGCGGTTCAAAAACCCATCACTTTTTTATCTCTCCGCGCATCACAAATCAAATTTTTTTCTATTTATGTTCTACATCTGTGTATTTTTATTAATATTTTTTCTTTGTTTTATGAATAATGACAGTGATAGAGTGATTCATGCTAAAGAGGAAACTATTATAAACCATTTTTAATCAGAAAAAGGGGGTCCTATTTTCTTCGTCTGCGGACTACCACGTACTAGTGACGATGTTTGCTGCAAAAGTGAACGAGCGGTTCTGATTGGTCGAAAGTCAATAGGAATGTCCGGGGTTGGCTGGGATTGGCCAAGACACAAAATTTGCATATGGCACATCGCGTGGAAATCGGATGACAATAGGTATTTGCATATCTCGAAACCCGAGTCAGAGGTCAATGCTTTGTACATGTATTGTATTATGCCTAATGGTCACACGACGACTGTTTCAGAACTGTTTTCTAAATTATGGAAACGTGATGTCTAAAATTGCAATTGTGCGTGCTGGTTGAAATTCCAATTCCTGAAAGGAACACTTCTTATCGACGTCTCAACACCATGTGCAGGGGCAGGAGAACACAACAGGGGGCTCATTTTCTGAAGGGGGCACACAAAAGGTGTGGTCACAGTCTCAGGTAAAACAAAGCTATTTTTTGCCTTCTCCAAATGCGAGGTTCTTAAATAGTTTCAGGTTAATCAAAGCTATGTTTGCCCAAGTTCTCCAAATACGAGGTTCTTTAAATAATCAGTCACGTAATTTAGGTTTCCTTCTAAGACTTTTATTTGCAGACGTATTCTCTACCGTACCATAAAACTGCAGAAAATAAGAAAGGGCAAAAAGATTTCTTTCTTCCATGAAGATCATGTATTTATTCTCAGAGCTCATAGAGATGCTTAAATGTAGATACTGCAACGTATTTTACTACGTAGGAAAATTCAGCTTGGACCAAGTCATATCAATACAACTTCGATATTTGAAGAAAAAAAAATCCAGTACAACAATTTGGCTCAACATTTTGTTGTCTCTTAGCTATAGCACAATTGTGGATTTTGCAGCTCCTATCACCAATATCAATAAAATAATTCAATGTTCAGCCAGATGTATAATTGGTCCCTTGGTTCAGTTATATAAATTAAAAATTAAAAAAGAAGAAACTAAACCTGCTCAATTAAAGCACACATAAAACTCCCTGATAAGGTAATTTTGTTAACCAGGTCACGCCGGATGACATGTATACCCGCAAAGGTTTTGCGGTATTCGGAACGGATGACGGATAGACACGCAGCGCAGGGAGCGAGGCCGGAAATAGCGACCCGCTCGCAGTGAGCAAGGCCCGAAATATGAGTGTGCTGCCCGAGGGTGATGGCTTCAACCCGCCTGGCTTGAGCTCGAGTGAAAAATAATCCCGCGCCTCGTTCCGTTCTTGTCAAAACAAAATAATCCCAGCGCGAACTGGCTAATCCAGGATATTACAGGAGTGAGAACTCTGGTGCTGGACCGAGAAGTTACACTTGAAAAAAATAAAAACACCAAAAGATCATAAACAATATGTGTTAAACTTACGTCCGTAAAACACACACAGTGCTAACAACTTTCAAAACAAAACACGTATGAAGTACTAGTACTCTTACAGTGCAATATGGCAAGTATTACATTAATTATTTACAGCTCTAGTTTTTACAAAAATGAGAGAACACAATGACATAAATAGCAAATTAAGGAAATTCAATTACAATTTCATTGAGACACACACTATGTACACATAAAAAGATTTCTAAAAGGAGAATTGTCATAAACTTTTTTTAGGAAAATAGAAATGTTTTTGAACATTTGTTCACATAAAAACCACACACATATACAAGAAAAAATTCCATTTCATAAAAAGACTGAAAAGGTCAGTATAATGAAAGAAATGTACAACATTTCTTCATCAAAGTGAAATTCCCAATTTAAGTCTTTGTGCTTTTAAAAGGCAACAGTATTAAGGCACTCAAATAACCGTTAAATACACATTTTAACTCGGAACCAAAATATACAAAAAGTGAAGCAAACAAGATAAATAAAGTGTATTTACATAAATAACAGTGTATTAATAACTTTTTTGCAAATAATCAAGGAAATCAATGTGCTGCGTAGAAATCAAACAAACTTTCTACTTGTGTCGTTTTTTAGTGAGGTGGTTTCACCACTAAATTTGAATTGTTCTGGAACACATAAAAACAGTTCATTTAAAAAACCTTTGTTTTTCAAAAAAAAAAAACAATGTTGTCATCAGTCCAGAAGGATACAATTTTTTAAAATTTGCTTTCAACACTTGGGCTGGATCAAATACTCCGCCATTTTTACAGCGTAAAATGTGTCTAGTCCTGTTCGGTTTCTGACTTGTAAAAATTGGACTTTATACTGTACCCTGTCAGGCGACCCAAAGGTTTGACCCAGTTGTCAAAGTCCCCTGATACTGGATCCATTTTGTTGCCAATTTTGAAGACCACTTTGTCCGATTTTTTCCCTCTGGATCCAAATTGAAAACTCTCTCCCTATTGGTTTGTTCATCAGCTTCATCTCTTTCTTGAGCCATTCACGGCTGTTGTTCTACCCTTGCCTTTATCTTTCTGATGACCATTTGTTAAAGCCTCTTTCCCATTGGTTGATTTCTTGGATGACCCTTGACCTTCGACCTTGGTTGGTACACTCATCGTGACCTTCTTCTTAGCTGCTTTGTCCGGGGCTTGGCTCTCGACCTTGTTTCTGTTCTTGGATCTTCCTTTGGAGCCTGCAATATGGCACAAGATAAATTATTCTTCAAATTTTACTCTAAAAGATGTATGGGAGTAGAGGGGACAGATTCCCCCTCCCACTTTTACGGTTAAAGGAATGTTTATTTTTTCTATTGACTCATTGCCTACAGTAACCAATTTATGAAATCAGCTACAAATATCGGCTATATATCTAGTCTAGTTCCATGCCTCCTCTAATTAAACTTACCTTTGTCCGATGATACGGTACCCTGCTCACTCTGCAGTGTTCTGCTGGATCTTGCCTGTGAGTTCTGCTCCTCTGTGTAGCTATCGATAGCTGCAAAAAGGACGCATAACAAATCAATCATAAATATGAGACAACAACTGCTTAAATTGAGTTTAAATCAATTCCATTGATCAAAAAATAAAAATGTTCAAACTGACTGCGCTTGGGTATCAACTTGATCACGTTAATTGACTGATCAAATCCAGTAATAGTTGATCAATTGTTTGAAAGACAAATCAGTGATTAAACAATCAACCAATTAATCATCCATCAACTGATCTTATAATTAATCATTTTATTTATCACTCTTTAGGGTCACGTAAAGAAAACAATAGTTTGATAGTCAATTGACTGATTCATCAATTAATAAAGGATAAATTGATCATCAATTTATTGCTCTCAAGATCAATCAGTCAGTTTTTATAACTCTGAGGCTACTTTGAACCAACGAAAAAAAAAAATTTCTTCAGGTTGAGAAACTCACCTGATAATATACTGGATGCTCTGTCATCGCCGTTAAGTAATCTCTCTTCTCTGTCCAGCGCTGTCATGTAGTCCGAGTACTTCCACTGAACTTTCTCCTGTCCCTCATAATCCTCGTCATCTTCTCCCTCATCTAAGAACTCGGCAAAGACGCTGAAACGACGACTCAAGGACTTGGAGTCCACGCTGTTCTGGTCGTCCTCACCCTTGCGTGCCTCCTTCAAATAAAATCACAAGCGACAATGAGTTATATTCTTTGAGTATTAGGTAGAGTTGTAGTTGAGTCACATCGTGTCTGAGTCAAAGTCATGAGTCACTTGTTAGTTGAATGGATGCATGCATATGTGCAGTATCCTAGAATCAACGAACAAAATCAACAACAGGACAGCACTATAATCAAGAACTCTATTCTTGAAACACAAATAACAAAGCAGTATGATGAACATTTTTCCTTGCCATAGTGACGAGAAACTTAACTTCAGAATTTTGTTTTTATTATTTTTTAAAAAGTGTCTGTAAATTTGTGAAGATTTTATGACTCACAAGTCGCAAAAAAACCTTTAAAAAGTGACTACAATCATTTTCTATTTTGGATGGTGTTACCTTTTCCTCCTCCAGTCGTCTCATCTCCATCTCCCTACGTCGTTGCCTCTTCTTCTTTTTCTCAAGGTCGAACAGCATCTTCTCCTCTGACAGAGTATTGCGGTATTTCTGGAAGTCAGCCCAGTGTTGGAACAACACTTTGAATACTGTCATCTACAGACAAAAGAAAAAAGATGAATTATCAAGTGTTTCAATCAGCCTTTTCGGAGGTCGGTATTTTTCTATTACAATTTTTCTATTAAAACAGCAAACGTTCAAAACAATGCTTCAGGGAGACTTACGGCTTCACCTCTATCAAATTAATTTGTAATGTTCTCAGCCATCTCAGGGGTGATATTTACAGTGTGATCGAGAGCAGGTCAATATTGAACTATATCCCTCCCTTGGAGTAAATAGTTTTCTATTACCTGAGCTTCTCTGAAGACTTAAGTCCCAATCTCTTTAATTTGGTCTCTTGTCCATATTTTTGTAGCCATCTCAGGGTTATAATATTCATGGTGATTAATTAGAAGCAGGTCAATATTCACCTACACCCCTTGCCTGCAGTCAATATTTACCTATTGTGCTACTAAACTGACCTGCGATTCTCTGAAGACATAAGGCCCCATCTCTCTCGGTCTCTTGTCCATAATCTTCTCAGCCATCTCAGGGGTGATATCGATATGAAGACTTGGAGAAATCTCAGACATGATGAAGCACCGTAAGATGGCCTGTATCTTTTGTTGGATCATGGAATCATCGGTGTGGGAGTGGTACATGTCCTACAAAGGATGTAAAGACAATTAACATAACATGCCATTTTTATTTCGCCTAATTACATTCATATCAATCGTTTATGTCCAAGTACTCTTGGGACAAGTATCGATGCTTAAATACACTGCTTATAATTACTCATTAGTTCCTGTACCGCACCAAACCGCCCTGCCTGTCACTCCCTATATCTGCCCAAAACTGCCCAAGCACTGATTGGTTTATGGATTCATCAGAGAATAATTACAATGTAATACACAAGCTAATGGGTTGAACAGGATACCCCAAATAAATCAAGCGAGCAGAAAACAAGTTAAGTACTAAGCAGACTGTCAAATCAGTTAAATGAAATAATGTTGAAATCTTGTGCTCCTTTCATCATACCCTCCAGACATTACTTGCTTTGAAAAGTTTACATTGCCTCACCTTAAATTTGCCTTACCTTAAATTTCTGGACCTCGAGCCAAAAGAGAACGTCGTTCTCCAAGTTGTCTCCCTTGACAGAGAAAAACTTCCTGAAGTGTCCGCAGGTGACGGGGTTCATCAGAGCCTGACGGAAGGCGATGATGTCACGAGATGATGATACCCATCGACCCTCAAGAATCTGCAGAGATAAGAACCACATTTGAAATTATAAGATCACAGAAACTAGCTCTCGTGTACAAAAAGTTTGGAACATCCTCTTGGTGCCTGACGAAAGGCGATGATGTCACGAGATGATGACACCCATCGACCCTCAAGAATCTGCAGAGATAAGAACCACATCCAAAATTATAAGATCACAGAAACTGGATCTCATGTACAAAAAGTTTGGAACATCCTCTTGGTGCCTGACGAAAGGCGATGTCACGAGATGATGACACCCAACGACTCTCAAGTATCTGCAGAGATAAGACCCACATCCGAAATTATAAGATCACAAAAACTGGATCTCGTGTACAAAAAGTTTGGAACATCCTCTTGGTGCCTGACGAAAGGCGATGTCACGAGATGATGACACCCATCGACCCTCAAGAATCTGCAGAGATAAGAACCACATCCGAAATTATCACTGAAACTGGATCCCGCGTACAAAATGTGTCAAAGTTTGGAGCATCCTCAACAGTCCATGGACAGGTCCCATAACTCACCCGATAAATAGCCATAGATCGTAGCTTCTTGGCATTCATGACGTCGCTCACTACGTCCTCCATCTTGATATTCGGTCGCTGTCTCTCCTGGAAGTCCTCTCTCTGTAGGAACATCGGAAGCCACTTCCGCTCCAGACGTTGACGGACGTACTTCTGAGCTTCAATCAGGATGGGATCAGGCGGCCTGTCCAGGAGCAACTTACCCCAGCCTCCACCAGCTTGCATTACCTGAAATATAGTTGCAGCATCATCAGTGACTTTCATATTTCAATAATTGAAAAGTTGAAAACAAAGAAATTGACTGGAGCGGGGCTTGAACCTGTGACCTGCGGATAACCTGAGCTATCCAGCCCTATGTTGGCAGTTCCCCAATTAGTCAATATCTTTGTTCAAGGGGTGCTAATCAGAAGCCATAAACCAGTTTGCCAGGGATCATGCCCAAAGTCACGATACAGACCTGTGAAATAGCAAACAGGGATCACTCGGAGAGGATGCGGCTTTTTATTACAAATGTTCAAATGAACCACACAGGGAAACTGACAAGGTGAATTATAACAGTTTCCCTGTGTGCTTCATTTGAAACTTTAATATTTTGACACTACTCTTAAGGGCATCACAATTTTTTTTGAAATTTTAAAGCCATAAGGCATTACATTTAGTAGGTTCAGGTGCATAATGAGTTAGCCTGCTCCAAGTTCCAGATTTAGGATGAAGTGAAAAAATTAGAGCTTTGAGATGAATGCTGTTATTACAAATGAATAAATTACTGGATTACCTTGAGACTATCCCCGTTTGAAAGGCATGACTCGCATTTTAAATGCTGAGGGAGTAACACTTAAACCACTTTTTCTCTTGAAAAGGTTTCTGTTTTAAGAACTTACCAGGTTCTGCTGGGGTCTTGTTGCAGGACTGTTGGGGCCAAAGAAGTACTTCTTATTCAGGTACTTGGTCTTGATATCCTTGGCTTTCGTGTCTCGTTTGTTGGCGTCCAGGTATGGCGTACGGCGGAAGGATTCTATATCCATCCAACACATCAGGTCAGTAATGGCGTAGTTATCCTCTGGAAATAAACAAGAAATATGAAAAGCCAATATTATAAAGCAAAAACCAAAATTGAAGAAAGTTGAGACAATGATTCTAGTGTTATAAGGCTTCAGATGTTTCCAAAAAATCGGGATGACTCCTTGTATAATTGATCAGAAAAGCCACCATGGAAGCACAAAAACCCTCTCGAAATTTGGTGAATAATTTTTCAAATCCATTTTCAAATCCATTTTGAAAGCAAAAAAAGATCTTCTCAAACACAACCCTGACAAAGTTCTTAAGCCAAGAAATATTTTGTTGGAAATCTCACCGAGAAATTTGCGGAAGTGTTCCAGCTCCAGCCGGTTGTGGATGAGCTTGTTATAGTCGTAGTCTCTGAAGTCTTCAGGAATCTTCTCTCGGAGTGTCTGGTAGTAAGCCTCCTGCTTGCCCTCTTCGTCCTCATCCAGCATGAAGTCAGGTGTGGAGATACGCTGCGTGAGATCAACGAAGAAAATTAACCATCTTGAAAACGGTTTGATCTTTAGCACCACATTTCAAAACACAAATGGTTCCGGTCCTAAAACAAACCTTTGATGACTCTATAACCGTTTGGAGGGAGGAAAATGCAGCTTTTGGATGGAGGTGGGATGTTGGTCTTATTAATTTTTCCTTTTTAACTTTTTTGTATAGTCAGGATCTTCTGTCTTGAACAAGTTTGAGCAAGAACTTAGATTAACCATAAATTGACCATAATTTTATAACCATAATCTTAAACCTCACTAGACAGACAATTCTAGAGGACTATCCATGTACATAATAATATACAGCAGAGAGCCAGGATAAATGACGTTTCTCATGACGTTTTAACCACCGAGATCTTCGTATGTTAATTAGTGTGCAGGTGTAAGTTACGTCACCAATCTAGTTGATCAATGAATTTCGACTAAAGTTACTCCTAGTCTAGTGCTTACCTCCTTGATGAAGCCTCTTCTAGTCAAATTCTTCAGCTGTCTAGCATTCATTGCATCCAGCTGTCTCTCTTCTGAAATCAACTCAATCTGACGGAGGAAAAACAGAATATCGAACTATTTGACCAAGCCCTCTGTCAGAGTAAACCCTAAATTTGTAATATAGAACTAGCTGTTCTCTTTGAATTTTGGCCCAATAAGAAGTTGATTTTCCAATAATATAGGAACTTTCAGATACATTTCTGTAGGACTTCAGCAATGCAATGTTGCCTGGTCTGCCCTTTGAAGCTGACAAAGTAGTATTATTCAAAGTCTCTAACCTTATTGTAAAGCACCGTATCACTACTCTTCATCTCTGACCAAGGCTTGAGCAGCATCTCTAAGATGTGCTCCTCCGCGCCGTCAAATAGTTCCTCAAATGGGGGTGCCACTTCCCGATAAATCTGGGCTCGGACATTCGGCGGGCACTCGATGTCATAAAAGCAGCAATGGACAATGTACTTGGAATTGATAGCCTGTGAAAGCGAAAGGAATAACAAACAGGTTGTGCAAATTGTTAGCGACTGGAACGACCCGAACGATAGAAACTGTAAAAGTTCAAGGGGAGTCAGATTGGCGCAGCGGTTACTGTCCTCGCCTTCCACCGCTGTAACCTGGGTTCGAATCCCGCTTGGGCCAATTTGTGGATTGGGTTTGCAGTCCCTGCCTAATTCCGTGGGTTTTCCCTAGAACATCATTCTGGGGTTTTCCTCCAACCACTAAAACTGTAATTTCCATCCACATCTTCTACCAAGGGACCCCATTGGAAAATAAGTCGAGAGGATTTCGTGGGCTGTCCCAGCCAATTGGCAGATAATCAAAAACAACGGCATGACATTTTGATCCAACTATAATCTTTCTGAAAGGAAAAATGTCCAAGATCTTGAACTGAACTCACAAATAGTGAATTCATAGGTTCATATCTTCAACACTATTTCAAAGATTTAATCACAAGTTACATTAATATCTTACTACATGATGTGGGGGTTAAAGAGGCTCATTTTGAGAAAAATCAACACCTGTTACTAACTGTTAAGTGCATGGGCGTCGCCAGGATTTTTTCTAGAGGGGGGCAAAAAAATGCTTGTATTTCTCAACACATTCTCGATTTATCAGTTTTAGAGGGGGGGGGGGGGAGCAGGGACATTTTGCCCCCCCCCCCAACTCATTAAATTTGTCTTCGCGCCTCTTTTTGTTTTTTGGGTTTTTTTTTTTCCTTGTTTTTTTTTGGGGGGGGGGGGCTTTTCCAGGGGGGGGGGGCAAGTGCCCCCCTTGCCCCCCCCCCCCCCCTCGCGACGCCCATGGTTAAGTGCCATGATACCTACCTGGGCTTTTCTTTGCAGATGGAATGAATCAAAGACATCGGCATAGAAGAGTGCATGATAGTCCTGCAGCTCATGCCAACAACTCAGGCAGTTGACAAGGGTCTGAAAACAACAGAAAAGGATATTTCAACGAGTCATGGACAATTCTTGAAGATTGTCTTGAGGATTGTCAAAAAAGACATTAACCCTCCTAAGGAAACATGCATTGTGAGCCTTGTTATTACTTGGGTCAATATTGGTCAAGACCCCCATTGGTTTGTACACAGTAGGCCAGAAGCCGGAGGTGAGGAAAACAATTTGACCATTGGTGACCTCTTAAATAGTAGGAGGGTTACAAAAAGAAATACAAAAATCAACAAGAAAGTCTTGGTCGTATAAATTCATTCAAAATGACTTGCCTCAATTTATTGAAAGGTTTGAAACATCTCAGGAATTTTAATGTCAATTTTCACAATAAAGTGTGCTCTGATGAGGAAAACAGTTTGTTTAAAAGCAAGCTGGCTTAACCTGATATGAAACATACAGTAAACAGACATTAAAATGTAAAACAACTTGAAATATTGATGTGCGGATTTATGGAGTTTTTTTTGTCATACTGTCTTATACAGGGTGGATAAAAAAACGAAACAGAGATATATGCTAATTGGAACAGAAGTAGGGCACATGTGAATCAAAGGGAGATATTCTCTGTTAGGGTTGAATCTCCTCTTTAAAATGACACCCTGATTATGTCATTACATTCAGGGTTGGCTGATGAGTGACCAATTTTATGAAAGGGTCTATTTAGAGAATAGCGCCACTTTTCATGGTGAAATCTCTTTTCCCCCCACCTGCCTTGATTGGTAACCATAGCCTTTTGATCTGTGACAAATGACACCACAAAAACCACAATTGAAAAGAGGAGCAATTCTCTTTTTTTTATAAACCCTGTATACTCACAGGATTGTCTAGTTTCTCCAGGTAAGCCATGAAGAACCCTCCTGCCTTCTTCTCATGGTAGAGTCCTTCCAACAGACTCTCCATCCGATTTCCTCCAAAGAACTCACTCTCCTCAGAGGCAATACTGCTGGACGTGGATGAGGCTGAGGTTGGACGCTTTGGCTTGTGAGGCGTGTTTGGTCTGAAATAGAGAAGGGATTTTAAATACAAGTTTCATTAAAGCAATTAAATTAAAAAAATCACAATGATGGCTAGACATTTCTGAAATGAGGCTTGACGGTAACTGTGGCCAACCCCTCAGCACTATATAAGACTTAGCAAATATACTAATAATCTGGTGTGGGATTCAAATCCCTAACCAATGGACTCTCGTCCTAATATCTGCACTTCAAATCAATTCTTACCTCCCATGACTTGTATCCTGTTCCTGCCCGCCAACAATCTCCTCAGTTCCGATAGTGACTGATCTCTCTTGGCTTATCCCACCGCTGCCACCGAATCTGTCTTGGCTAATCCCACCGCTGCCACCGAATCTCTCTTGGCTAATCCCACCGCTGACACTGAACCTCTCATCTCTTTGATCTGCTACCTCAGGCGCTGTATCCCCAGACGCAGCCACACCACTGACATTCTTACTCATCGATCGGGAGGCTACTGCTTTGGGGGACCCTCTGGGAGGGCTTGGCTTGATCCCCGATCCAATGCTTATGGTGATTCTCCGAGGTGTAGATGGGGAAGCAGTCTTGGAGTGATGGGTGGGCTTCTTAGGCGTGACTGAGGTCATTAGGCTAGAGATAGGCAGACTGGGCAGGGTCTTGCTGCGCTGGGTCTTACGGACTTGAGGGGGACTTGGGGATTTGTCACTTCTGTTTGCTGCCTGCTTCGAACAACAAAAAGAATTTTAAAGTAATCACGATTTAAACTCAGTGGATTAGAAAATACTAATTTCATCCATTGTAGCACCTTCATTAAATATAATAAATTTGGTTGTCATAATTTGTAAAAAAATATGTTCTCTGACGAGAAATGTCTTTGACGAAAAATATCTTTTCTGAAGAGAACGCATTTTGCCTGTTTACCTTTGGGCTTTTCATTTGTTCTACGTTTATTACTCCAAAACTAGTTGGAATCACTCAGTCTCCTACTGTCTGAAAAGTTTTGTTGGAACATAGAATAAAGGAAAAGCTTTGTCCATACCTCTGTTGGAAGAGCAATGCTATGTCTGAGTCTTGGCCAGCAGGTCTTGGGTCTCAGCGGTAGGAGCGTGACGGTCCTGGGCTCAGGATGTGTGCTGCTGCTGGTGCTGTTGCTGCTGCTGCTGCTGTTAAGTAGCTTCTGGCGATGGTAAATCTGATTGGTTGTTGTACTGCTGCTGTTAGCGCTGCCAGTGTACATTTCCCGCATGAGGAATCGTGGTGCCCTGTTTTAGAGACAAAGCGAGATATTTAAAACCAGTGTTTTAGACCCCTGTTTCAGAAAACAAAACTTGATCAAGATTATTCAACATTAACCTTTCTGGTTGTTGTTGGCTCACATGTGTTGGTCAGAGCTGAAGCAATATAACATCTCACAAACAAAAAATAACAAGAAAAGGAAAAAGCTTCAAATGAGAAGAACATGACCACAGATTACGGTATCAAAAAATACATTCTAAAATTCCACAATTGAGTATGGACACAATATTTAATTCAAGAAATTGAAGGGTACATGATACTTTTAAAGCAGAAGCTTCTATCAGAGATGCCACCAATATATCAATAAAAAGCCTGAAGCTCTACTAAAAAACCTGAAACTTCCCTTACCCCCTTTCAAAAATGTGTTTTCTTGATGATTCAGACCAAATCCAGCACTTTTAATTTGTCACATTTTTCAGGTTAAAACCTGAAAAGTGGCATCTCTGTTCTTTTGAAAAACTGAGACTTACCAATACAGGAGAAGTGGTGCCGTCACGTCGGGATGTAGTTTGGCAAGTTTGTCCATGCTTGTCCATTTGGAAGGTGCTTCAAGTCCAAGCGACTTCAGTATCTCTCTAGGCAGCTCACAGATTCCACCGGCCTTCAAGTATTTATCCCTTAACTGACCTACGAAGCTAAAATTATAAACAACATAATAATACAATAAATACTAGGTTTGGAGATGTGCAAAGTTACTGTGAACCTCTCTGTACTGAGACTTGGTTGTGAAGATAAAAATGGAAACTATGTGCATTTTTCAATGGCTGTGGAATGTTTCTAACTTGGAGCGGAACAGTGCGTATATCTCTGTTGCAGGATTTCCAAAAACAGGATTTAAAAGTGACCCCCAACCACCAGCCCCCCCCCCTCCTAACCCGCCCCCCTATCTGTCACCTATGAACTTTTTACAGGTGAAAACTAGTAACAAAATATGACTTTCTTTTACAACAAAACATTTGTTGTGTTTAGCAATTGACTCACTGTTGTTGAACCTCCTTGTCATCAATCATGTGTCCGCGGTCCACATCCAACCACAGATTCCAGATTTTCTCTCCGGTGGTCCCCCACAGGAATCTCTTGAATCCATCCAGGCCTCTCTTGTTGCTCAAATCAAAACTGTACCTCGGCTTAGAGAAAAAGGGATCTTTGATTTCATCGGGTTCTTGTTCGTTGTCACTGTCAAACAGAGAGTCCTCTTCCGCACCGTCATTGCCCACAGTTGCCATGGATATTCGACTGTTTGTCCTCCAATCGTCTTGCACATCCAGACCATTTTTCAAAATGGACGGTCTCTTACGTTCAGCTGGCAGAATCACCTCCATATCATGTAAAGCATCCTCCGTCAAATCAGCACTGTGGACATCGAGCGATCTTAGAATGTTCTCGTCAATATAGGCGTCAATTTCATCCTGGGAGACCTCTGTTACCACGCCGATGGCAGACTTCATGGCATAGGACACGACGACGTTTGCCATATCCTCCAGTGAGGAAACTCGGATCGGTTGCGGTTGCATTTCTGGTAAATCCTCGTCGTTTTCGTTATCGCTGTTGTTCAGCTGCTGGCTCTCAGCATCAAACCCGCTCTCCGTGCTCAGCTTCTCATCCTCGACTTCATCCAGCGATTCTCCTCTCACCATTTTGAACTTGGACCCAGAAGGAGCAACATGGACAGGTCCGCTGAAGCTCTTTCCTACGTTCTCGGCAACCATGCAAGAATCATCGCCGATGGGAGGGCGCCACACAGGTGGGGAACGCAACCTCGGTGGACTATGAAACATCTTCTCGCTGTTAGGAATGTCTTCAAGACTCGTAGGGTCAAAGTTTGAGGTGCTGAAGGAGTCTTGTCTCCAAGGGCTTCCGATTCCACTATCAGCCGTAGCCTGATCCCAAACACTCATTGAGGAGCTAAGCGGTCGACCACTCATTGAACTCATTGGCCGAACACTCGCCGAACTCAATGGCCGGCTACTTGCCGGTCGTGAACTACCGAACCCATCTGAACTACGCGGTTGTACTGAATTGGTCGTCGTCGTGCCAGATTTCATTTTGACATCGCTGTACCATTCCTTAGATTGTGTGGCATGGGCTTCTCCCATGCAGACATACATTTGGCGCATGGCTATGCCTTGTTCGTCAACTTTCGGGGGTTCAACAACAGGTGGTTTTTCAATAGCAAAGGGTTTGTAGGTGGCATCAATATAAAGATGAATAGGAACATCACTGTCTTTGGTAGCAATCTAAAGGAAAAACAGATTTAATTATTTGTCTTATTTTCTCAACTTTATTGTATCTTCACTTTACAATATTGGCTTTTACACAAGGTAAATTTCTATAGAATCAGTCTATCAACTTAACATATGACAGCAACGTAGTGTGGTCAAAAGCAGATCGTAAGTCTATACCACGAGTGCAGTCACAAGTAACAGTGGATGAACTGCAATCAAATACTTTTGTCACACTTCATTTGGATAGCTTGCGACTTGGCCAGATCGAGGCGATGGGCTTGTGACGGACTTGTGATAGCTTGACTAAAACAATGGCATATGAACTGTGAGTTCATTGTCATGCAAGCAATGGTAAGAAACTGATTGGTCAAGAGCCTAAATTTGCCTCAAAGGAATTAACACACCTCCGTGTCCCACTAGCCCATACTTACCTCAACTTGTGAGATCAGCTTTGCTAATCTGAATTCCAGGTAAGAATCACTCTGTAAGAAAGCCGGCAATCTCTCCTCCTTGATCCATTGGATTCCTTGCTCCTTGTTCAGACACTACCAACAAATGAAAAACATAACCATTCTGAAATTGAAAGGCTTGCACATTTCTGATGTGGTAACAGTGGCAAGATGTTTTATATTCATGGTTAACAAGTGTACGCGAGCAGTGTGTCCTACGCACAGAGCTCTCATGAAAAGTAGCGAAGTCTATCTGTTGTCCATGAACTGAGTCCAAAGTTTGTGAGTTATACAGGGTGTGTATACCTGGACCATGAAGCTCGTCTTTACGTCAAAATCTTCCTCCGTGTACTGCGGACCGCTGGGCATCTTGGCTCCAAGCGGTAGCTTGGACTTCATCAGCCTCTTGGTGGCAGTATAGATGGGGTTGGGTTTCTGTTGCGAGCGGATCAGGGATCGAATCTTCTCCTTCAGAGCCTGTTTGGCTGACGTCACTACCTCAAAACCCCGCTTTTCTTTGTTGAAAATCAGGGGTTCTGGAAAAGTCTGTTTGAAAGAATGCACATTTATAAAATTAACACAAATTTTAATTGACAGTGACATTGAGGAATTGCACAAGAACATGGCTTTTCATTGAGGAATTGCACAAGAACATGGCTTTTCAAAGCCTTTCAAAACTGAAAAACAGTCACTTTTTTTTAAAATATCACAAGTAAATCAAATGCTTCATATTTTTTTGCTGTCGTCAATTTGGGTTTAATGAAAACAATTATGTTAGAGAATCAACTTACAGGAAGCTGAAGAAATGCATTGAAGTAATCAACAAACAGTTCATCAGTGGCCAAGAAATCCTCCTGCATAACAGACCAAAAGAATAACTGATGAAATATTGTTTACTTAAAGCCACAATTTTGAGCTTCAGACCAAGAATGAGACATACATCAAAATAAACATCATAAAACAAATTTATCAACAATCAAAACATTAATTAAAGAAACTGAGAAATAATATTGAGCCTTCTTTTTCCTCATTGGAATCAGTATAAAAAAAAAATCTAAAAAAAATGCTAGTTTCCAGAAAAATTTTGTCCACACTTTTCCAAATTTTGTCCACAGCTTGTGTTACTTTTGTGATGCAAGTAGACCTCACCTAAATGATAGATGAATCGACGAAAATTGTTTCCATGGCGACCAAAGAAAATAACAAGCCTAGCATTAAATATTGATTTTTCTGAGCCAGAGTGCGTGGCGACAATTTGTTATTGCTTCCTTCACAAGACCTAAAAGCGCCAGAGTACGCGAATTAAATTCTGGGCCGCCTCCAGCTTGACTGATGGACCGTAAGCCATTAAATTGGCAATATCCGTTAATCCTTGGAGGCAGAAATCATCAACCATTAGCAAGGGCAAGAACGTTCAGTGTATACTGGTATTACAGCGTATGTCGAATTACAACAAGAACACCAAAAACAACACGCCGAAAACAATGAATCTCATTACTCTGAAGCAATAGCCTTCAGCTTCTTTGAAAAACTCAATCCATTTCCGATCTCATTAAGAAATTCTTGGTGTTATCAAATCCCTCCGAAGTCAACAGAGCTACAAAAATCCAACACATAACCCTGAAATCTACACTTGTTGTGCCTGAAGTAATAGGTCAAGCCTGACTGCACATACCCTAGTATAGGTTTACTCTGTCAACACAGTTAGAAGCGGATAATTTTACCAAACAACTGTGAAAACATAAAGGCAAAACACCTAGCAAGTGTATACCATGCTAGCTAAACAAATGTCAAACAGCATTTGGAACAAAATCCCACAAACTTTGGTCCTATTCCATCCCAAATGTTTTACTTTCTTTTCAATTGAATATCATTTTTCAACATCTTTCTTTTTTGTTTTGCTTTGTTTTGTTTGTTTAAATAATTAAATATTTTCACAAGTTATGCTGAAATTTCTTTTGAAAAGTTGGTTCTCATGAAACCCTAAAAAAAGTTGTTACATGTTCTAATAAAAACATCAATATGTTGCCTGTAAAAAGAGATACATCTAAATGCATGTGTTCGTGCATTGCTATTTTCATCCTTCTAGACCAGAATAAACACGGCTCAAGTATGAAAAGTGCTCTCAGATACTCAGACTATGTCAATGGTACTAGAAAAACTTCTATGTCAACAAATGGGCAGACCACAGTCGTCGCCGCAAAAAAAGACTTGATGATGAATGCAAACATCGCTTCTTCAGCAACACTTGCCCTGGACAGAACATTTTGAGGTGCAACATTTTTTTCTGGTGAAACTCTTTCAAAGTCATGATATTTTTTTTGGGGGGGGGGCAAGTTTGGATACTATTGTTGTAAAGCCGAGTCAAATCTGAACTAATTCTGTAGTAAGTGGCTACATGATAAAAAGTCAACCTTTCAAGGCTAGCTACAATGGTAATAGCATTTAACACACACCACAGCCTCTATAGAAGGACCAAGTTTCTTTCTTTTTTTCTCGAGTGCTCCGACAAAGTTCTCAGTAGTTATCAGCCAGAATCCTTGGATCATGAACTTTTCCTGAAGGTCTGAAAGTGAGACTTCAGAAATAAATTCTGGGGAACGTGCCAATTGGAGCAAAATTAATTTGGCCCGAGCCGCCCAAGCAAGGCCAGGCTTTGTTGATGGAGCGATTGAATTGCTGAAACTTGAGGCGGCATCGAATAATAGAGAATGGATGAATTTCCAGCAATCCTAAACTTCATTGAAATACAGTTGAGTGGTGATGTTGCCAAAAGCAACAAGTCCGGCAAACTTCTGGCTCAACTGAACAATTGCAAAACCAAGTTTTCTCAAACAGCACTTGCCACACTATGTCACTTGACAGCACTTGTGACGCTGTCACTTGACAGCACTTGTGACACTATGTCACTTGACAGCACTTTTGACACTATGTCACTTGACAGCACTTGTCACGCTATGTCACTTGACAGCACTTGTGACGCTATATTGACAGCATTTGTGACGCTATGTCACTTGACAGCCCTTGTCACGCTATATCACTTGACAGCACTTGTCATGCTATGTCACTTGACAACACTTGTCACGCTATATTGACAGCACTTGTGACACTATGTCACTTGACAGCACTTGTCATGCTATGTCACTTGACAGCACTTGTCACGCTATGTCACTTGACAGCACTTGTCATGCTATGTCACTTGACAACACTTGTCACGCTATATTGACAGCACTTGTGACACTACCGGTATGTCACTTGACAGCACTTGTCACGCTGTGTCACTTGACAGCACTTGTCACGCTATGTCACTTGACAGCACTTGACACGCTATCGTCACAGCCCCCAACAATATTTACATCTTCTCATCAAACAAGTGAAGAAATGGTAAAATCAATACAGTTTGCCCTGGTCCCAGGGGGCCAGCCTATGCTCTGAATGTCACTTGTGAGCCAGGCAGTGCTATTGTATAGGATTACCCAATATCGCCAAATCCGGCCTGTTGTGTAGACCAGACATGAAAAGATGTTCAGTGATTATCCATTCCAGATCAGTTAGATCAAATTTTGTGTGCTCTCGGACCAGCTTTAAAAACTTTGTCATTTTTAAAAAAAAATTATTTTTCAAATATGACCATCATATGAATAAATTATAAAGAAAAAACCATCAGTTTTGTACAAATCAATCAAATTTTGACACTGATGTACACTGTAAGGTTGTCACTAATTTGTTTCTCTTCCACAATGACGTGGGGGAAAAAATACAATTTTGTCACAAAACAAGCCAACGACTATTGGGGTTTTCACCAATAGTCGTTGGTGAAAATTCACCTGGTTCAGCAAGCACCTGCAAAGCACACACTTAAAAGAACTCAACCAAATGATGTGACCCACTTTATCCTCGGCAGTTGCTAGGGTTAATGTTCACATTTATGATAGTCACTCGCAACTTTGAACTTCATAAAACGAGTAAATAGTGGAATCAATTGACTGACAGCGCGCTGAGTCCTGATCAATGTGACCTGCAAACCGGGAAGGGACAATGCTTGAAATGATTGCAACACAGTAGCCTCGTTACTATGGTGACACAGAGAAATTGGATCGGCAATAATGCTCATTATCTGGTCAGTAAGTACGGTAGGGAGACCGTAATTGACAAAAGAAAAAATATTTTCCGAAACTGGGGCTCATGTTCAAATGGGTCTCAGTTTGCAAAACCACTTTAGATATTGCACTTAACGGACTAAGTGTAATGTTTCCTTGAGACTGGCTACATGAAATTTTAATCGTCATTTTATTTTTCATAAACCCCCACATTATGTATGTTGTGTAAGTCTGTCTCATATTTGAGTTAAAACATTTTAAAGTCCTTAGTCCGAATAAGATTATGCTTTGTAAACAATTTTAACTTACAAAATGTACAAACTATTAAATCGTAATGATTTGTGACACTCCAACACAAAGCGAAATTCATATTGAGGCGTTTAATGCTGGAATTATAATGAATTTATTTCACTTTCAATGAAGTTATTTTGTAAATTTGGTGTTCATTTGCGAAAATTTAACGACAAATTTCTCGATTTATTTTTAACTTTCTGAAACTGAACTGAAAATACCTATAACTCCGTCAGATTTTTTTCTGTCGTTAAAAGCTGGCATAATGAATTTATTTCACTTTCAATAAATTTAATTTGTAAATTTGGAGTTCATTTGCGAAAAGTTAACGGCAAATTTCTTGATTTATTCTTAACGCTCCGAAACTGAACTGAAAATACATATAACTCTGTCAGATTTTTTTCTGGCATTAAAAGCTGGCATAACGAATTTATTTCACTTTCAATGAAGTTAATTTGTAAATTTGGAGTTTATTTGGGAAAATTTAATGACAAATTTCTCGATTTATTTTTAACTCTCCGAAACTGAATTGAAAATACCTATAACTCAGTCAGATTTTTCTGATTCCCATATTCTATACATCTTTGGAAAGCTCATTTAAAGTCCTTTCCAATGAGCCATAAAAAAAAACAGTTTTCAACAGTTTTGTGCCGGACGGTCCTATTTTAGCAAAACATGACCACACACTTCTGCCTCACTTACTGGACAAACAGCAATTACAAGCTTGTTGACTGTCTGTAATCCCAGTGAAAACACGGCCATATATGACGATATGGCTTCCAGAGAGTAAACACTGACATTTGATTGAAAGGCAAACACAACAGCAGATGATTAAACAAGATGGCCGATGGTTGCTACGGCAACTATCCATGACAGCACATGGTTCTATTCTATTTCTTTTTTCCCTTTCTGTTTTACTCCACATTAATTCCAAATCATAGTGTGGCAAAAAGGTACAAAAAATAACTCAAATATACCCAAACAAACCATGACACATGTTAAACCAACCAATGCCAGCACAACTGTCTGTAAGATACCTCAAAAGAATAATTTTCACTGAACCAAATTATTAAAAAATGTGACAATCCTTACATTTTAAGATAAAACAAAGGGTTAGTAATAACATAGACCAGTGATAACTTTAGTTCTAAAATGGTATTTGTAATTTACCATTTTTTTGTTTCTATTACCATCAAATTTATGTCTATTTATTTCTTACAATACATTGTAGCCAGTACATTTAGCAGCACTTTGTTTCTTTCATAGGAAAATGTCTTTTGTCAGTCTACAGTCCGGTCAATTAACCTGTCACAAACCAACTAGATGAGGCCGGAATAAAACTGGCACGTACACGTACAATGGCAACAATGCATCTACCAACTGTTGCTATGGTGATGTTAAATTGTCAATGGGGTCAATTTTTGTTCTTTTGTTCGGAAAAACCTGAAAAATATAGAGCTGCAGTCCACGATTGGGTTTATTGTTCTTCTTATTATTATTAGTGGTTCTATTTTTTTACTATTAGGCCTATTATTTCTTTCTTGGACAATGATACAATCTCTTCTATTTTTGATGATAAAATTTAGTGGTAAAATTTAGTTTGAAAAAGCAGAATGAACACTAGTTTTATACAGCATTTTTTAATAGACTAGAAACAAAACTGCAACACCAGATAATCAGAATTGCCAACCCAACCAACAAACTGTTGCGATGGTTACACCGTGACCACCCAAATTATAATTGCATTGTTTTTTTCTAACCCCAGTTATATGTAAATGTAGTGTCATATCAGCCAGCAGTGCAAATGATTCACACACAACTGTATGAAAACTGAACAATATTGCCTCCAAGTGGGATTACTGCTCGTAAAAAAAGGCAATTGTGTGTCCGTTAATGAGTTCGGCAAGTACAATGAGGTTACTATGGTGACGATAATTCGTCAGGGGTCATTAGTCATTAGCCATCTTTATTACTGTGCGTTTGAACAACAAGTGTGTAATAAAAAAAACAGCGTCAGTTCTGTCTTCAGCTATAAAAAGTTCAAGGAAAAAAGGAAACCTGTACTAAAAATGATTAATTAGCACATTTTTCAAGTCCAGGGATTAATTTCATGCAGAGCTCCGGTACTTAACAGCGGAGTGACTAGGGTTCAGCTGCTAGGGGGTGCCTGGGGGTGCAACAATTTTTCAAGTGGGGCACTATCGGCAACGTGTATACTGTTTGTGTGTAATTCAAGATTGGAGACACTTAAAGGCCCTCGGCTGGTGGGGGGGGGGGCAACTGTAAGCACAGAATTTAGTACAGTAAAGCCTGGTTCATACTTCACTCGAAAGCAAGCGAAGTGAAATTTGTGACGTCAACAACACCGACGTTCAAAGCATGACCATCATTGTTGACGACATGAATTTCACTTTGCACTTGCTTGCGTGTGAAGTATGAACCAGGATTAAACAGGGATTTTTGCTAGCGGTATATTAAGGTGAAATTAGGCCCAGCAGAACTGCACAAATGCAATTCAAGAATTCCATGCATGCAAATAAATCAACATAATTGGCCAGACAGCATGAACGCAACTTGTGTCAAACGAACATCTCCCGATTAATGTTTGTTCCGTGCTCAAGCTCTAATTGCAATTACCCAACACGAGATTGGAATTTTTCATTAGAATGAACGATGGTCTGTTTTCACTATAACATGTACCACCATGAGTTAAGGAATATCTTAAAACAATTTCAGCATGTCTCTTAAATTTTGAGAAATCTGCCTCTAAAAAATTGTAAATTTCTGTAGACTTTTTTTTGGGGGGGGACCACCCTGTGTACACTGTAACTTGCTGTGTTCACATTTTAAACAAACCTTGTTTACAATTTCTGGCAGATTTACTGATGTCATGTCTTGATCCTGAACTTTGTGATCTAAGGATACGTATAAAATGATCACCTCCTGGGTTCCCCTTGTGAAATGTTTAAATATCTGACAGAAATGTCCCTTTCAAGGATAAACATCTTAAAGAATTAAAGAAACCTTATAACTGCCCCCTCTGTATAATCTGATTAAATTCAGGCACATTCTGAGCCCTTCCAAGAAGCTTTTGGCCCTGAAATTTTTAATCCTGACCAATTACTAATCCTTAGAGATTTAACGTAAATCCTGTTTTAATGATAAACAGAGAAAACAAGTTCCAGGGCCAAGAGAGTCAAATCATGTTCCATAATAAATTCACTGTTTTCCGTAAAAAGGAAAATCATTGCCCATTTCCCGAAATTGATCCACCAAAGAGTTTGTTTGTTAAGTTGCACCATTTCACAGCACAGACATTTCCCTGTGTGCATGTGGATTAAGTGGGATTACCTTAAATAATAAATTCCATTAGACTGTGTGGAAAGGGATTAAGAGAAAGTGTTGAGCATTCCCTTGAATAAATAACTCTTCTCGGTTTGACTTCTGTTCATCCCTAGTTCCAACAAATCTATATTTGCAGGACAGAAGTCCTCAAACTAAGGGGGGATTCCAAAACTACTCCACGCTTTCCAAGGACAATGTGATTGTATGAAATAATGATCACAAGGGGGGACAGGGGGTAGGTCTTGGGGAACAATGGTTGTGTTGATCTGTTGATAGGAATAGAGTTCCTATGCTGGTGTTTGGCTGGTGAAGTTGTGAAACGGAAAGTGAAATGTAAACAGACAATTGTTCAGAAACTTTGGATCAACTTCAAGCAAGAAAACAATATGAGAACAATTGTGTGATCTTCACTAAAGACAGACTTCTCCATTGCAACTGCCGAGTCGACCGGCAAAACATGTCAATCTTAATAAAGGCACCCACAAACACAGTGCTTAATGCTAAAGTAACACAAGCATTTGGAATGTTGAAGATAAAAGAACGCTATAAGACTTTTGTGTTTAAACTCTTTCAAAGAATCTTGTTTTGTTTTTCTCAACACTGCATACATAAAAATTGACAAAAGGTACTTTTTTAAAGAGAGAGCCAACTTACCAAGTCATCTGCTGTGACAACAGGGGGAACTGTAAAGAAATGAAGAATTTTGAAAATTATTCTCATTTTTTCTCATCTATTTTATCTATTTATTTATTAATTTCATTATATTTTACCAGGGTAGTCCCATCCCAATTGTTCTCCCTGGGGGCCCTGGAGTTATACAGACATACAGAATGACAACCTACAGAAATCCAAAAACTATAAAATTTCATTAGATTAAAAGATTACATAAAAAGGTAACACCTAAATCTGATGGGAATTTTTTAGGCACTTTTGGCTAAGACATACCGGTACATAATGTTAGAAGTGTTCTGGAAGCATTCAATTTTGTGACTTTTTGTTACAATTATACAGCAATTTGGTCTAATTTCTTCACTTATCAACATTTAACCTAAATACTCCAAACTCATTAATCATATTCAAATGTTATCAACAGTGCCGACACTTAACACATTTTTGTAATCTATGAACTTTAGATATTATTGAAAAGACCTTTGCCAAAATGTATTAATCTCTTTTTAAAAAGTACAGAAAGCCAAAGGTTGTGGCAAATTATCAACAAAATATCAACTATCATGATGAACTTCATTTGTGGTCACATACATGTTATCAGATTTTCAACCGCAACACTTTTTTACTTTTTCAAGCAAATAGTTTCAGAAGGAAGAAAAAATACCGCATAATTTGTGACCTACTGAGGCAAAATGAGAGATATTACTCAAAACCTCATTTCATGTAATCGACACGTGAAGTCAATTATACATGAAAAATCATGTCAAAATCGATTTGGAAAGGTTTGCACATCTGTGTTTGTTTTTTCAGTAGCCAAAGTATCCAACATCTTCCTCTGGCATAATTATTGACACAAAATTTAAAAAATTTTAAAAAATGCTAAGCGTGAAGTTTTTTTAGTCCTTCACATTTTCCTTCAAAAGTTTCAGAGCAACAAAATGACCGAAGAGAAAATTCATTTGATTAAACACACACTTGGAGTATTGAAACCTTTTTTTTTTAAGAAAAAAAAATGAAAAGTCAAGTGGTCTTGTCAATATCATTGAACAAATCCAGTCCGCGTGGACGTCATTATTTGTTCAGCGGGTCTGTTAGAGAGAGATATCATTTGGCAATTATTGACAAATTACCCAACTGAGATGTGTGTCCAGTGCTGCCATGGCAACATGGAAATAGATTGGAGTGCGTTGTTTGCTCTGATCATTGTGTTCAATTCCGCGTGTACATGATTTCAGAATTTTTTTAACGAAGTGCAGTTCATGTGAATAACGGTACTATTTAATTTCAACTTCCTTGCCTTTTTTTAAGGCATAGGATCGTTGCTTTCCATGCATTTCTTTGTTTCCAATAATAACACCAATCAAAATCTAAAGAAGAACGTTGACAAGCTGACCTGTTGAAGTTTCAGCTCGTTGGATATTACACATTTTGAGGAAACAGTGTAAACCATGCACAACCTTTTGATCACGAAACACAATTTCGTCATTTTAAGTCTTCCAGACTGATTTTGAAATCACCTACATTTCTTGATTTCTTCTAAATGACAGCAAGCTAGACGGAATAATTTCACGGGGTCTTTAGTATCAGTAGGATTTTTAATCCAAATAGGTTTTTTTGATAATAATTGGGTCTACAGGCTACTTTTGGGGTAAATGCAAATGATCCTATGCCTAACACCCTGAAGAGTAGGACCAGTGTTTTTCCATATAAATGTCAGTTTTCCATTTCGGTTTCAACCATAAAACTCCACAAATATCATTTGCGTTGTGCAGCGGACGTTCACTGAGAAACATAGAGCTTATTCGGTTAAAAAATGTGTAACAGAATTGCTCTAAGCTTTACATTATGCCCGAAATTGAAAAAGTTGACAGATATTGTTTCTTTTTCACTAATTGGTATCTTTTTTCTGCACACACAACTTGCCAAAAAGTTTAATTCTATTTCAAGAGGAAAAACAAAATGTGTTTATTTTCTGTTCCGCTTTCAAGTGAAGCAGAAACACAGTGGCCTCTCAAAAGACCTATCATTCACTCCGCAAACCTTGGACACTTTTGGAGAATAGGCCCTACATGGTGTTCTTTGTTGCGGCATATGTGCCGAGAGACACACGATTTTACTGAAAAGACGAGGAGTTTGACGACAAAAGAAATGATAAATGGGGGTGTAATACCTCTACTCCCCACGTCTGGCACAGCCCAAGGTGATCCATTTGCTCTTAATGCCGACAGAGAAATTACTGCCCCCCCCCCCCTTTTTTGCAATAAGTGCCCCTGGGATACATCATTTAAGAGTTCAGCAATATGGACGTACAATAATCAGCTTAATTAAAATGTAATTTTAGTTTGCAAAATAAGTAACTTATTTGACCATTGACCTAAATTGTTCTGCAGCACTGAATCAGGAATAAACAAAGTTGTTCAATAATTGTCACTGCTGAAATAAATGTAATTCAAAATCATATTTACCTATTGATAGCTTTTTCTCTGGCATCTTGGCTGTTTTTGAAGTTCTTACTCTTTTCCAACTTTACATTTTGTTGATGAGTTGTCCAGCTTGCAGTTGCAGATGATTGTTTACAACACAGTTTATCTTCGAAAATAGAAGTTCCATAAAAGTAATTTCACGGCAAACTCCTACATTTCATTTTCATTGGCAAATTTTTGGCTGTTGGCATTTGCAGCATCACAAATCCTCATCTGAAATAAAATTTAAAAAAATTAAAAATCATTATTACAAAAAAAAACATCAGCAAGAGAATTTATTGAAGGAAGTTGCATTTAAATCTGCATAGAGGGAACCAATTAATGGAGACTGATTGTCGAAAAAATAACAAAAATTTTGAATTTGGGAAAAAATTAAATAATTAAATATAATCGGGAGTATGATGTGTGAGTACAGCAAAATTTAATGGACTTGTTATTTTAACATGGTTGTTAAGGTTTTTCTTCCAAAGCAGTCAAAAAAGCTTACTGCTCTGACAGGTATAGATACGCTGGTAACAATCTGCATTATGGGATTCAAGACTTTAGCCCTAACTTAAATTATGACAAGATTCATCAGCCAATAAATAAGTGTAAGCATTAGGCTTAGGCGAGTTACTGTTAGGATCCCTCCATGACTAGTTATGTTTTGAATTCACCTTTACTGCTAGCGCAGGCCAAATGAAATTCCACTTTTGACGATTTTTTTTTCAAGGGAAGTATAGACCGAGAAGCGATTCCCAATGACTGCATGCGCGTTTTTGCTGCCAGTTCCGTAACCTCACAAAATCGGGAACCACTACCGGTTCAGTAGCCACTGCCATTTAATTTTTTTTTCTTTATGGGGGAAGAAAGACATGTAGCGTCGACCCTCAATTATGTGCGCAGGTAACGCTTGCATACGTGCGCGCGTTGTCACACACAAATTGAAGGTAAATGCGTAGAAAGAGGACTGCGTAGCTTTAGGGGGTTTGACGATACATTGTAAACATAAAATGTACATGATACGGGCCAACATGTACAAACCAAAATGTATTGACACCAGCACAAAAGGCAGCAGTAGGCTACGCCTTCTAATTTCTAATATTGTCCACGGAGGATAAAAAAAAAATACATCATAGGCTGGATAGCCAGTAATGCATTGTAATTTGTAGCCTATCTAGGCCTAGTCGAGTTGAAAAAAGAAGTCTAACATAACAGTAACATTAATCCATAACTAGCCTATCAGTTGAAAATCGAAAGTTAACTAGGGCCTACAAACAAGGCCTTGGCCCTGCCATCTTTAGAGTTGTTATCATGATCGACTAATTATGCAAACAGACATGGCAGATAATAAAGCAACTTGTACTATTATTTTGTAACGTTACAACTTACATTTAAGAGAGTTTACAACAACTGAACAAGTCTTATTAACCCTAACTTCGATTTCGTGGAAGTCGAGTTTACCTTGAACAAGTAGACAGTCTAAATCCGAAAATCGTGCCAGACGAACCATCGTACACCATCCATGATCACACGCCATTGCAGTGTTTTGTTGCTTTATAACTCCCCACATAATCACTAGACCACCACAGGCTGAGTGTCACATTTTATCACCCTACCGGAACCGGTGTGAGCTGTGTGCACAGCGGCATACAATCACCGGATAAACGATCAACGATCGCTTGGTCTGTTGCTACTGGCAATCGGGTCGCCGGTCGTCCATGCGTGCTGCGCGGACAACACCGTAAAAGTAGATTAGCCCCCTCTATAGTTGATTGAAACTTTACTTCAGCGACCTATTTCATGCATGATATATACAATACATGTACATGTTTTGTACAGTAACATAATTGTTTTGGGGGTTTGTTTGAAATGTTTACTTTAAAACAGATGGGTAAATAGTCCAATGAAAACAGTGAAAGCAATCAATCTTCTGATAACAGTTGAACTAAGTGAATAGTTTTCTTTATTTCTTCTGTCCCTGCTCACACACAATTTCCATGAAAAATCTATGAAATCTTAAGCAATGTCAATTGTCATTGTATGACATAGTTCTACATGTAGTTGTAAATTAAGTGTGTATATACAATTGGCACATCATCTTCATGTAAAGGGTGCTTGCTTTCTAACAAACATATTTTTTTCTCAAAAACCAGTTAAAATACACACCTTACTTCATTATCTGAAAAAAATATAACTTTAGATAATTAATTTTCATCTGGTGATGATATTGAAAAAAATACACAGCAAAAGGTTAGTTTACAGCCCCCCCCCAAAAAAAACCCAAATAACACCCACTTAAAAACCCACAAAAGGCGTACAAAAGGTTTCTATTGAAAATTGTCTTCCTTATGTTGTACAAAATGCTGTAAAGTCACATTATATCAAGGTAAAAAATCTGGACGGACAGGATAAATTCAGTCTCATCAAATTAGTTTCACAATTATATACAAAATACAGCAATTATACATCAGACAATAATAAATAGAATAGAATAGAATAGAACTTTATATTGCTCAAGTTTAAAAAAACTGTTACTAATTTGTTTTGCAGAAAAAACTATTTACAATTTCGGTCAATACAAAATATAATAGAATCCCCTAGCTAAACAATGGCACAAACAAAATGGCAGAATGCCAACAAATGCCGTTTTTTAGAACTTGTATGGAATGTCAGCAGTCCAAGGTTCGAACCTTATTTTATCAATTCTTCTTTATTACACTTTCAACAGTGTCATACCTAGTGTTAATCTCCGGGGTGAGGGGGGGGAGGGGCCATCTGGGGTGCATCCATTTTTCAAAGGGGGCACTGAGGGCAAATGATATCTATTGTTTTTCAATTCAAGATTTTTAAATGGGGGCCTTGTGGTGGGGGGGGGGGCGGACATCTGTTAGGGGGGGGTGTACCCTCCGTGCCACATAGTTACGCCACTGACTATCAAGTCTCAACAAATGACCCAAGCGTCTTGCACACGGCTCGCTTCTCTGTGAACACACGCACCATGAAGGATCCTGAAATGTTTGGATTGAACGTGGATGGCAGAATGATGTAACTGCCCGGGGCGAGCGTGAATCGTCGGTAGACTTGACGGTAGTTGATAAAAGAACCAGATCGGCCGACTTCCGATAGATGCTGGAGTTCTTGCTGACTCTGAGGATGATCGGGATCATCCGTCTGAAATTCAAGGGGAAAAGTCAAGGATTTGTTAAGAAAAAATCCAAGCAGTAAAACTTTTTCAATTAAAGATATCATGAAATATTTCTATAACAATTAGCACCTGTAGTACACTGCATTACACTGTATTTTTTTTCCGCTCAGGAATCTGAAAATACATACAGTGTTGGATTGTCTTAAGTGGTACAGACAAAAAAGTCACGCAGTGGACAAAAATTGATGAAAATTTTTCAAAATGAGGCCCTTGTAAAATAGAAACCTTCAGGGATGCTGGTACAGGGGGTTGTGGGTCCGACAAACCCCCGGTTTGGGTGGGTTTTTTTGGGCAATATTTGTAATACCTGTCGCTAAATATGTGTTTGTGTCAGCACATACTTGCGTGCCTGTCAGCTTTATTACAGCAACCCATTGGTAAAATGGTATCCACTCCCCGTCAGTGGCATAGCCACAGGGGGGCCTGGGGGGCACATCCCCCCCCCCTCACAAATTATACATGTGCCCCCCCCCCCCCCCAGATGCCTCCCCCCACCAAAATACTGATTAATGCCCCTTTTCCTTCCCTAACCAAAAAGGCTTTTTGTAAATTGTATTTTTTTTCAGTCAGCCAAAGGCTTACTGTTTACAGTTTCTTATGTCAATGGATATAGCAAGGCATTATGGGGCCCAACTGGGAAAAACTACAATAGGACGTTTGCGATATGTGCCCCCATGATATTCTGATACCATCCCTCCTTCCCCCTCCCCCACTAAAAAAATCCTAGCTATGCCACTGCTCTCCCACTCCTTCCTCCCTAAATCCTGGCTACGTTCCTGAAGAGAGTAGTCTGTCAGCAATTTAATGGAAGCCTTTTATACAAACAGCAACTCCTCAAATATCCATGTAAGATGATGTTTTGAGCATACCTCATAGATTCTGAATCCTATCTGTTGTTTCTTAGGAGCTAGATTCTTCTTGGATCGACGATACTCCTGGATCACTGCGATGATTATGGAACACTTGCCTCGCTTCTCGTCCGAGTCGGCTGAGTGAATGTCATCTAAAGGAATCAAATTAAAAAGTTTGGAAAACTCAATCGGAGATTCTCAGAAGATTAAAAAAAAATTTTACTGTAATCTTTTACGAGAACAGTCCATTTCAGTTAAAAAAGATGTTTTCCAAAGGAATATGAAGCAACTATGGACTAAAAGTATGTTTTTAGTAAACATGGTTAATTTTAGTGACTCATTTTGTATGGAAATTCATCTCATTTTATCTCAAGGAAGAATGAGTTTGTGAGGATGTATGGTTAATTTTAGCCACTTAGAAATCCAGGCCACTTGCAAGGACTATTCATCTTGAAAAATATAGTTTTTTTCCAAGGAGGATTTTATTCATTTCAAACTTTTTAAAATGTTTTCAGGATTTTCCCCAAAGTTTAAGGAGCAGAAATACTTGTCAAAGTTTAATGAATCTAAGAAATCTTTTTGATAAAAAAAATGTACCTGGTTGTAAGAGTGTAAAGCTGAATTGAGGGTTAGAGTAGAACGTGTCGAAGTTGGCGCAGCCTCCAGCGCTGACGTTCTTAATCCAATGCCCTCGCATGTCAAGCATATGAAAACCTCCACCTGTACAAAAATGAATGGTGACTCTACAATATCAATTATTGAGGGAAAAAGGGTTATATTAAGCTAAACAAATGTAGTTTTGAAAACTCATTTTGCTGAAGGATGTTTAGCTACTTCGATACGTTGAAATTAACAAACATATAATTTCGGGGAAGAGGAAGCTATTGAAGAAGTTTAGATGGAGAATAACTATAATCCCACCAATCGCAAGTAACGATGACGATTCTAAAACTTATTCTACAAATTCTTCCTCATACCTGATTCGTTAATATCTGCTTTGCCGTCACCGTCAAAGTCAGGTCCCAGCGTGCACATGATGACAGAGTTGAACTTCTTACAGAAATCTTCAAAGCTCATCCTTTTATGAAAAAAAAAAATTGATAAAGGCACATCCTCATTATCAAAGAGACTGATTATAACGAGTCCTTGCAGTGAATGGGACAACAAGCTCAAGTGGCGATCTGAAGAGTAACTTAAAAACCTTCACCTGATACCTGGTACTCATGCACTGATTCCCGAATGTAAATGAATGAGCAAAAAATGTAGACCAGGGAAATGTAAAAGCCATAAACAGGCTGCATCTGACTTACTTGCTTACTGTATGTAATTAAAAATGCGCCTTTTGGAAGTAGTTAACAAGTTTGCGCCGGGATTATTTTTGCCGAAAATTTCGATTTTCGCAAAAAGCAAGATATAGCAGGCAACTTCTGATATACAGCCAAACACCACAAACACTGATTCACAAGAGTCATTTTTTAGTGTCTTACTAGCCAAGGAATTCAGGTGCAGCCATATTTATCATATTAGAATGCTAAATATCGCCCTCTTCAGTTCACGCACACACCCGATAACTCACCAAAACTCTCCATCATCCTGACGTTTGGGATTCATTCTTTCTCTTTCTTCTGCTTCTAGTTTCTTCCACTTTGATGAACTAGACAGCATGAAAAGAAAAGAAAACAATTTCAAAGGATAAAATAGATAGTTATATTCCCAATAAACCTGTCTTAAAAATTGTTTGCTCATTAATATGATGTTATTTTTGCAAAAAGCATCATAACATGTTTCACGAGTCTAGAACCCCATCTGTTGTCTTCCTGTACGATCACAGCCAAGTGTTAGGAAAAGGCTAACAATGACAGTGAAATCTATGGAAGCAGCATCATTAGCTTCCTGTTGCCAGGATGTATACTGCCCTCGTAGGTTTGTGCACACAGCTATTGGCAATTTAATCTAAGCCTGTATCCCAATTTTATGGCTACGGCTAGCTACAACACACATGTCAATGGGAAGTGGATTAAACCACTTCCATAGGTACATGTACATATGTTAGCCATAGCCTTGTATAATTTTAGATTGGTCTTACTTGTCACTCCAGTCACCCGTCCATTCCGTGCTGTTGCCCCATGGGTTTCTAACCCTCAGCAGTTTTGTGATCGCCTCGGATTTCTTTTTGTTCTTCTTCTTCTTTTTATTTGTGTTTAGGAAGACAACCTGCGCGTCAGTGATGGTGTAGGAATGGCCGGGCACTATGCCGCTGTCATCTGCGGTCACGTTCTGAAAGTTGGGATTCTAGGAGATTTTTGAGAAAACAAATTCAAATAATCAGTATTTAACCTTTTAGCTCTTGTACCGCCCCAAACCGCCCTGCCTATAGGCGTGGCCAGGGGAGGGGGGAGGGGGGAAGGGGGTAGGGGTATTTATTATACATGTAGACAAGTCAAGTGACTCGTGATTGACTTGAGATTAACTTGTGAATGACTTGCAAACTGACTTGTGATTTTGCATGTGACTGACTTGTTATTGACTTGTGATTGACATATGATTGGCTTGTGATTAACAAGTGATTGACTTGTAATTGACATATGATTGGCTTGTGATTAACAACTGATTGACTTGTAATTGACATATGATTGGCTTGTGATTAACAAGTGATTGACTTGTGATTGACATATGATTGGCTTGTGATTAACAAGTGATTGACTTGTAATTGACATATGATTGGCTTGTGATTAACAAGTGATTGACTTGTGATTGACATATGATTGGCTTGTGATTGACTCCGCTGATCTGAAAGTCACACTCACCTTCTTAGAGCAAGCCATGAAGGCACGCGTCATGGCTCCTTTGTACAACAGCGCATAGAAATCTGCCGAGACACTCTCCTGAGTAAACAAGAAGACTTCTGACAATCCACCTGTCAGGTCAACGAAAGCGTCCGCCGCCATACCACCACTCAAGCCCTGATAGGTACCATTCAGTCTGAAAAATGAAAAAAATCAATCAACAAATCAAAGATGTATCTACACATTACGATAGCCAACCCTTGCAAACTGACTTGTGGTACAAATCCACACTGGTACCTTGAGCCTTGAGGTCAGGGTTAAATCCTATCCCACTACACTACATGAAGGCAAAAGTGTAATAATTATAAAAATTGGTAAACGTACGTGAGCTGTTTGAATTTGTTACAATTTGTTAGAATTTCTACGCATTAGCAAAGCTATATATAGTGGCATAACTAAGTGGAGGTGGGCATGAGGGTGACAGCCCCCTCCCCCCCCCCTCTCCCCGGAGGTCTATGTGTCCAACCCCTTGTTCCCCCCCCCCCTTTATGTACAAAATGCCAAATTCCATTCTTCAAATTAGGTTTTGCCCTTGTAAATTCCATTCTTACTTTGCATATGCCTTCTCCATCAGTGCTGGCCAGAACTCGTTTTTTTCACTTGACGAAGCAAACACCAGTCTGTTGTTCTTTGTGGGCAGTCGGTCATCGATGACCACGTCCACCCAGCGTCCGAAACGCCAGAACTTGAAGTGAATGGCTCCGACGTAGCCCGGCGGGACCAAGGACTGATTCTCTGGAATAATCTGTAAGAAATTTAGGACAAGAAAGTAAAAAAATAACTTACTGTTTCTCAATTGTTCAAAAACTTCACACATGTATCTAAGGACGTTTCATCCTAGATCTTTTGACATCTACACAGTTTAATTGCTGAGCAATGGTCTAGCTACTGTCATTTTGGTACTGGTACTTGTGATGAAACACAAGTGCATCACAAGTCTTTACAAGGAAATCACAAGTCCATTCACATGTCGAGTCACAAGTAACAAGTTATGAACAGTAAGAAGCCTTAATCATAGTTCATTTAAATAGCGTGTGAGTTGAATTGGGAGTGGATGACTTGTGATGGACTTGTGATCCACTTGTGATTGACTTGTGATCCACTTGTGATTCACTTGTGATTCACTTGTGATTCACTTGTGATGACTTGTGATATACATCACAAGTACCTCGACTACAACACTGAACAATGACAAAGACATTTGTGCTCGTTCCTACCTTTCTGACTAGGTCTTTATGTTGAGCGATACCAGCACACGCCGCTAGGAACCAACAATCCGATAGAGTACCTTGTATGACGTCCTCGCGACTAGTGCCATCCACAAACATTCGTGGCTCATTACAGATTTCCTGTTCAAATAAAAATTTTAACATTTAGACATTTTTAAAGGTGGAATACTGTAAAATCAGGGTTTAATGACCCGATTCTTGTGCAAACACAGAAATCATTTGCTTGGCCAAAACAGGATAGCAGCCAAAAACTCAAACGATCTAAACTGCATCCGACTGATTTTCAACTATATTTCTTACCACAGAAGGCCAAGTAAACAAATAAACAAGTTTGTCATCTCTTCCTTATTCGGTTTGTTTTTAATCATGTACATTGTATTGTTTACAGCCAAATCATAGGGCTATTGACCTATCACGGTAGAATTGCATTAGAATCACGTCAACGCAGCTCGTGAAATAATGTTCAATTACATGACATAAAAATGGTCACGGAACACGCAAAATCTGAGACAAACAAAACTTAGTGTACAAAAATTCCATAGGGTTGTCTAAGGGGCGTGACTAACGACGATAAGCCCATTGCACGCAGGTTCCAAATCTTGTAAAACGGGAGAAAACTCCCCTGAACACAAAAGTATCGGCAAAAGTGTTGAGAAAATGAAAGGATACATTTGCTACATTGGGGGAGGGGGGGGGGGGGGGAGATATCTCCGCCTTTCTTTTCTTCACGAAGCCTGGACTAGACACTATTTCTTGTTTTACTTGGCCTAGTTTTACTTAGCACTCTTTTCTGCTTAGGTGGAAGAAACACTGAGATTTACTTACAGATGGTCTCTTCCAGACAATGTTTTGGTTTTTCTCGGCGTCCAGGAAGAGTGATGAGTTATCGGCAGGAAAGTCAGGGTCTTCGTACAGAGTGCCGTCCAGCGTGCCCTCTAGACGCTTCTTAAATGCGACATAATCCTGGGAAGAATTGGAGGCAGAAGTTAAAACAGACTGATAAATAAAGAATTTAAGACTGGAACTTACATGGAAATCTTTACATGGAAGATTAATCAGGTAAAAAAGGGGAGATGTGCTCACTACTGTTATCAACAGGTTAATTTTTGATATCAAAAACACAAAAAAAATTGTAATGAAATACTACACACCAAACTAGCTTGTATTTTTTTTGGGTCTTTTTTCCTTGTTCATTTAAATTCAAGAATTTGAATGGAAGTTAATAGGCCCCTATTACTTTTTGAAAGATTTTTCAAGAAAACAAGAGTGTTTCTTGAACTAGGAGTATTCACAAATCCAATGAATATACAAATAACACATAGGTTTGGCAACCATCCACACTAGTTTCATGACTGCTTCATAAAGCGCATGCATGGTAGACCAGTTGCGCACCCAAGGGGGGGGGGGGGGCTCGGGGGGCTTGAGGTTGTAATTTTTTTTTTAGTTTAACGATTTGACCTTGGTGATATGTATGTGGCCTATTTTTGAGTAAACATCAAAACTAGGGGCTGACACGCAAGGGTAAATAAATGCACCAGTGAGAATGTGGCTCTGGATCATGGTATGAGAAATAGTAAAAAAAAAAATATTCCCTTTCTTATACCTCTGTTACTCCTAATATGAGTTCGTGATCCGGATGCGGTTCTTCAAGTTCCTCTTCGGGTTCCGGTTCCTCCAATTTCATCCCACTCCTCCAAACCTCTGCCTCATCTTTGATGACCGACCGTGAGTTCGAGTGATCTTTGGGTGAGCTTGTTTCACGAGATGGGTGTATCGTCCGGCCTGGCGTCTTGGAAACGGTCTCCTGGGATGCTTGTGGTCCTTTTGTTTTGGATATCCTCTTGGACTTAGCTCCGGCTTGTTGGCTGGTCTTAATTTGGGGCGGAGCTAAAGGCGGATTTATAGTTGCCACACCATGGTGGTAACTTGCGATACCTGGTGGTTGGTTCGGATACCATGTCAATTGATTTGTTGGTTCTTGCTGCCGGGAATGCAGGGAGTAATCGTACGATGGCGGCGATGCTGGACTGTGGTATCCATTGTAGAAATTACCATAGGTGTGGTTCTTTGTTGGTGGCGGGTGGATGGTGTGCGTTGGACCTCTGTTATTAATGTAACCACTATCTTCTAATGACGCACTACATCCCATATTTATACAGATGAAGATCTCATCTTTAAAATAAAGAAACCTGGATGTGAAGACAAATTAAGAAGAAACATGTAAATCAATTAAATGCTGATAAATAATTAACGTGTATTGTTACAAGATAAGCTATGAAAGTCTTTAGGATCCGTTTTCACGAGTAATGCATGTTTTGCCAGCTACGATGTTAAACTCATCAAGTTGTGTGGAAATCTAGTTTAATCTAGCTAAGTTACATGCAAAAACCATGAAAATCTGAGTGTGCACGTACTAGTCCCCAAATGTTCGGACACGTCAGACTACACAAAACTGTGCTTTAGAAAGATGTATACCATTTCTGTATCTGTAGGTGTATCATATAGTCGGCAAAGCATCCCGGAGGAAATCACACCAAAAGTTGAAGACCCCCCAACTTATGTATGACCATTTGATCAAGTATTTGATCGAGTCATAAACATTGTCATACATAAAGATTCATGATATTTGATCACATGTCATAACTTCTTAAGTTATTCCGTAAGTTACAAATACGATGTCCAGTTTTTGTCCACATACTAGGCACTGGGCCGGGCCTACTCTGTAGGTCTCAACTCCATTCCCAAACATGCAAAATGAGCAATGCATGCAATGCAATACAATACATAGATGTAGAGGCAGTTCATGACACCAATGACCAGATGACACATAAGTGACATAGTGACCATGGTGACATTTCATTTGATTTGACATTAGGCCTAGGGCAGTTTTACTCACAGAGTTTCGAATTCTCAAAAATCTCGGCAGACTACAATGTCAGTCACTTGAACTACTTCTGTGGCCACCCTTCTTTCATTTTCCTCTGACAATCACTAAATATTTTCAATAGATATTTCGACGCGATCCGCCGCCACCATTTTCATGAGTTTCTCGATTTCAACAGCTGATGTGTACGGTACTACGACTGTATACATTTTCAGCAGCCTAGGTAGTACCATCTGGCCTAAACAAAAGACTGTTCTTTTTTCCATTCCTGATCGCGCGTCAACTCTTTTGTTATCGCTTGGCTACGGACACATGTTGACAACTGCACTGCACTGTGCCTAGCTCGTTACAAAATGAGAAATTACGAGAAAAACGTCCTTGCCCTTTGATATGAGGACCGTTTTAGCATGGAGGAAGGAACATGGTTTTAGCCTCTCAAAATAACCAGTCAATAATATTTTTCATTTAAAAGAAAAACTACCTTTCGTTTGGAGTTTGTATTTTGCCATTGTGCATAAAGTTAGATACGATACAATGGTAAAATTTAATTAGGTCATTAAACCCATCCTGCCAGGCCCACCCCTAAAATGGCTCCCCCACTTCCTAAATAAACAGCCCTGCCTACTTGTTTAGACTTACAAGTAATTTGATTAAAAATCTTCTCACACTACACAAACCTTTGAAAAACATATGCACAAAAACTCAAATGTGATAGAAAAACATCTTTATTATGTGGAAATCTCAGTAATATCTGGAAATGGAAGGCAAGCCTTGTGAATGAGTTGTAAACATTTCTTTAATTGACAAGTAAGTTAACTTTTGCAGAAATGGAATACAAATGACACGCGACGTTTGATTTGGCTTAAATGATTAAACCATGGAGCTATAAACACATTAACAAAGTGTTATTAACAAACATGAATATGATTTAAAAAAATAAAAATTTAAATAGCTTTGGCTTTGTTAACAAGAAAATAAACAGTAAACTATTGGTAATCAATTACTTTTCAGTGATACAAGTATTTATGTTTATATAAACCATCTTCTTGTATTTTTACTTTCGTACAACTTAAAAGTTTGCTTAACTATTTATAAAGTGTCAACTTATGAATATATAACACGGTTTTCCATGAAAACAAAAGAACAATTATACAAGCATATGAGTAGTACATTGCACTTTTTCTTGTCAAAAAAAGCAAGAAAAAATGCCATCTTCAAAAAACAAACATAAAACTTTAACTCATCAAGTTTCCTTTAACTTCAGGGGTCTTTTCAATTAAACTTTGGCAATCATAGTGTATAAACTGTCACTGTGATATCGGTCCTTCCGAGCGTGTCCCTGATTACTGCCGCGACTCTGTCCCATCTTAGGCCATCAAGGCCGCAGCCAATCCGCGGCATGGACACACTCTGAACGTTGTTCCTAACACAGTGCTCAGCCATGGCTCGCAGGCTTCTAGCTAGGCTGTCATAGGTCGGCTTATTCCAGTATTTCTCCTTGGTCACCTGAATTTCCAAAAATTAAAGAAGAGTTATTAAATTCTTTCAAGAGAATGGCTTAAAAGTCATAACTGTTATTCAAACATATAAGACAGCTCACCCATTCATATTGGTCGAGAGACCATCACGTGGGTGGTTTTAAATGGTTGATAAAGACCGGCTGGCTGGTTTTAAACACTTTTCCCAGTGTCACATGAAATTTGGAAATTTAAAACCGGCCAACACATTTATTCCCTGATTAAGAGTTTTGAGTTTGAGAAGACGGTGGGAGTGGCTTTTCATAGGGAAAGTTGGGACAGCAAAAAAGACAGTCATGAGACAATATATGAGAGGCTAAGGTCCGCAAATTGACAAGAAATTCAGAATTTAAAGAGCAAAGTGTGGCTTAAAACATTCTTGCAAACTAGACAAACAATATAGTGTCTCAGAACTCAGAACATTTCTTTCACGACAAGAATGTCATATTCACAGCGTATTCCCTTTGAATCATGTCATTCTGACGATGTTCAATATATTGTGCCTTTTAATAGAATGCATTCCGAAATTGCAAAAGCATTGATACCATGTCTATAGACCTTATGTTGCCACCATTTCAGTCATGTTCCCTGAATCCAATAACAGTACTGAATGATAATGTGTTATGTACAAAAAGGAACCAGATTATTTTCCCATCCAGCCTTGCTTTGGTTACATTGATTTGAATGGAAAAACAAATCAAGATGGCTGCAACACGATTGTTTCCAGTTTTCAGAACCTTGTAATTGTGCAGAATAATTTTGATTCCTTTACCAGATAATAAATAAATCGGTTTCCTCGTTTCAGTACAGCGACTCCCCCTGGCTTTACACCTGACAGTTAGAGAGACAAAGAAGAAACAAAAACTAAAACTAGGTTACGAAGCTCAAAAACTTTATGGACAATCTGATCAAGTAGCTTTGGGAAGGAGCAGAAATTTGAGACTTGAATTTGATTTAAAGGCTGAAATGTAACCTTTCAGCAATTGTACAACTGTGTACAATCAGAACTTGTACACCAACCCCCTTAAAAACACTGCGTATGGAAGGGTTTAATTTTACCCCCTCCCTCCCGCCCCCCCCCCCCCCTGCGAAAACCAGACATGAGACTAGCACTTGTAGCAGTCTTAAGACAAGTGCATAATTCCACTGTTACAATGCAAAATTGGACATCCTACACATCAATTCATATATCCGTCAAAATCAGATGATATAATATTCAAAGACAAATAGGATGAACTTATTAAAAAGAACTGCTCTATGCTGCAACAGATTGTATCTTTTAATGCCAAAACCCATCCTCTTACCCTGGTTCATGAGTTCCTTAACTCCTCCGTATTTCTCCTTGAAGATTTTGGCAATGCCCTTGCCCATCCTGACATCTTCACTGATGCAGTGAGCGAGACACTCCTCATCGGAGCATCCGAACAAATCTCCTCTCGTCTCCTTCATCTCAAAACCCTTAAATAATGACAGTGAAATAAATCATTTTATCCCTTAAGCTGAACATATAGTGGCCATCGTTATGACATGACAGCTGTAACACAATTTCCAAAACCTATCGTTACAGCAAATTTGCAAAAACACAATGCAAATTGGTTTCACGTTAGAGTAATGAACTAGAGATCCAGGTTTGAAGCTCCTGTCACGCTAAGTTTTTCTTTTCTTTTTTAAATAGATTTCTCAAGTTTTAGGTCTTTAATCACACTGTTCCTTTTATTTAAGTAGATTTCTCTTTCCCCTTGGTTTTGGAGGACTTTTCTAAGAAGGGAATAAAGTCAGAGAACCATTTGGTTGATGGTCTGGTTGCAACAGCCAAAGATCGTGACATTGTTCTTTCTTCAGGAAACCAGCATTTGAAAGTTAATTACGGAGCCCATAGTTCTAGGCACTAGGGGTAGCTGCTTTGTACTTCAGTGCGACATCTTGTTCAAAAATTTCTTATATTAGTTTGTTTGCTAAATCAATTATGTTCATCATTTCACTAACCTTTGTTCCCGATGCACCTTCTCCATCACTTCTTTCCCCAACCTCTTCTCCTTCTCCGTTGTCATCCTCATCATCTTTATTTCCATCTCGTCTCACCTTCTTCACAGCATCTTGTCTCCCCTCTGCTGAATCTTTTGATTTACTCGTTCCTTTAGATCGTTTGGTCACTGTGACATAGCGGTCCATATCTATGTAGATAAAACCATTGCGGACAGTTGGTGGTTTTTGAGGAAGAATTCTGTACATGGACATCACTTTTCCTTGCAGTGAACTATCACATTCACACAAGTAATCAGCATTCAGAAAGCGATGACATGTCCTGAAAAGGCACATTTAGGCAGTGAAAATATTGAAGACATGTAGTCTGTGGCATGTAATCTTTACGGAACCAGTCTGTTGTTTTCGTCCTTGTAACTACTGCAGTAAAGACACACTATAGATAGGACCAGTAATTCCCACTACTTCCCTTAAACCATGCTGTATTTGTATAATACCAATTTGTTTTTATTGCTGTTTGTCCTTTTAGCATTAGTTTAATTTTGGCCCTTTGGCTGCCCATACTCACTTCAATGCAATGCGTAACTTGCGGCGCGCGGAGCTGAGGAGGGTCCAGTATAATCCGATTGCCTTATTTATTGTTTTACAACCTGTTTAAAATGTTTTCCCTTATGATTACATCAAATCATTAAATTACATTAAATCAAGATCGAAAATCGCAAACCTTTTCGCTGGCGGGCAAAACAGGATTGTGGAATAGAAAACAAGCCCACGCTGCACACCGTCTGTCATGTCAGAAATAATAACACTAACATAACAGTTCGTGCAGCGCGCCCTCTGTCGGTTAGATTATTGGACATGTAACCCGTCTCTTTGCCAAAAGTTTTGCACTTCGGTCAAAAGGCAAGGCCGCATAATAGTTGTTGACAAAAGGTTATTCGAAACGATAAAAACGTTGTTTTAATCTTTAAACAAAAACTTGTTTGGTTGGAATTGGTTGTAATCGGTCAAAATATGTAGGAGCAACAGCAGTGGCATAGCCAGGAATTTTTCAGTGGGGGGGGCGCTGGAACATTTCATGGGGGGCGTCATGTAGATCAATGATAATTTTTTTAGAAACTCAAAATCTCAGTGGGGGGGCGACTGGGGGGGGGGGCGACAAGGTTTCATGGGGGGCTGTCGCCCCCCCACGCCCCCCGTGGCTACGCCACTGAGCAACAGACAATGTCAAAATGTTGCTAACGAAGAGACATGATGCCAGCTAAAAAAAATCACCGAGGCCCAAAATATGGAATGAATACATTCTACAAGTTTATTGATTACACATTCAATCAAAATTATAATACCATCATTCAGTTTCATGGACGTAATAAAACAAATACAAAAACAAAACATTAAAATAAATTTACGAAAGTGCCCCCCCCCCCCCCTTAAATTTTTTTTTGGCTGTATGTAGGTTTTTTTTGTGGGAAGAGGTACATTTTCAACAAATGGATAATCCCCTCATGCTTATCAATGTATATTTTAAACCCCACTGAATCTAGCAACATAAATACAATTTAAAAATGTCCGATGAGTCAGTTGTGAGCTCAGTTACGTTAATCTAGAGCACTGTGACGAAAGAGCTTTTGCTCATACCATCATTTTTTGCCAGTTACAACAGTTACAAAATTCCCTAACGATTGGTAGTAGATTTTTTAAACCTGAGGCTGAAACTAAATTACTCTCTGTGTGTCAGCAGGTCAAATCCAAACTTTTGAAAAGTCGACATCCATCTTATCTAAACATCGGCTGAGATGGCTACTGAAGAGAGTTAAAATATATGTTGTCTCCTCCTAATATTACAATGGACATTTCAGGGTGTTATATGCTGTGGGTTTGAAGATTACTAAGGCCAAAAAAAAAGAGTCTCCGGTTTCTGGTATGCGCGCGCGTCACTGTAGCCATGCGCGTCGGCAAAATGAAACACTTTTGTTTTAATGAAAGATGATGTCTCAAACTGCCTAACTCACTGGTTTGACTGGAATCCTGCTGCTGCACAATTTTAACGTGTTTTTAGATGGGGTTACGATCAAGAATAAGCTTTATGTAGCCTCTCTGGACTCCCATATATTTGCACTAAGTTTAGTCTGGCACCATTTGCAGTCATCAGCCGACACTTGAAAAAAAAAAGGTAAAAAAAAAAAAAAAGCTGCATCGCTGCACCACTTTTTTGGCAAGCTCCATACCAGAAACCGGAGACTTTTTTTTTAAAATACAGTTTAAAAAAAGGATTCCAGTTGGCACCTTAAACATCCCTCTCAATTCATCACAAGTAGGTACTTGTCCATCAAACTTCTTAGCCACGCCCCCTGAGGCAACAGTGAAGGCATTGGTTTCTTGGTAGGCCACACCTCCTCTGCATGTTGACTGTCAATTCATCATGAGCAGGTGCTTCATGTCAATCCATCTTAAGCCACGCCCCTTAGAGCAACAGTGAGGGCGTCGGTTTCTTCCCAGGCCACGCCTCCTTTGCATATTTCTTCTTCTTAGGCAGCAAGTCCCCGCCCATACTGGGAATGTGTGGCTGCAGCATGGGGCCAGCGGCGGTGGGTGCCACCTCTTGCATGGGTGGGGCCATGTCCACATCCGGCGCCAAATTAGGCGCGTGCATGAGTCCCAGGGTGGAGCTGCCGAGCATTCCTGCCGGGGGTGTGGTCGGCGTGGTGGGCGGGGTCGAGGCGGGCTCCCCGCCCGTGCCGGGTAGGTCAGCATAGAGAGATGGACCATAGTGGAGACCCTGCAACCTGCGCACCATGTCATTAGCTGCACTGACAGTAGCTGATTCTTCAGATCTCCGCTTCTGTAAAAATTTGAAAAATAAATAAATTGACTTGTGATTCACTTGTGACCGGACTTGTGATCTACTTGTGGTCCATCACATGTAACTTTACTACCATACTGACAGTCTTAGGATCTACAGATAAATGGGAGCATGATGGAGTGTCATGGCCTAGCAGTTAAGAGCACCGCACCGGACTCATGCTCTGGTGTTTCAGAGGCAGCAGAATGTGGGTTGGAGCCCAGGACTGGACACTTGTGCCCTTAAGCAAGGCACTTAACCATTATTGCTTCGTCCTATGGATGGGACGTGAAGCCGTAGGTCCCCTGTGATGTGTAATGCAATCCACGTAAAAGAACCCAGTAACACTTATCACTAAGAGAAGGGGTTTGCCCCAGTGTTTCTGGTCTCCTGTTAAAACTCCCCTGTGGAGTCCTTAAGAGAAGAACCAATCAAGTACCAAGGAAAACGCCTCAAAGTCTGATTCTCACCTTGACAGGGACAACGGACGTCTGGATCAGATTTCTAAATCTTCCAACGGACGGATCAATATCCTCTGTTGGGAAAGAAAAGAAGACAAGATCAAACATTGAAAACCATAACTTAAGCTTTGCTCTTTTAATGTCAATTTCGAGTATTTCAGTTGAAAATGCCAATGCACTCCAGCCAAAATCAGCCACACATTTTAGCACACAGCCTCAGAGCATTTTCGAAACGACCGGCTTTGGCTTCATCTTAAAAAGATTTTAGGCCCCAACTTCTGGAACTCCAGCTACATTTTGGTGCCTGTTATGCTTCAGGAGCATTCAATCGGTTGATATGAAGGCAAAAGTCAGAGGCAAAGCCAAAGCCGATGCCAAAGCAAAGGTTTCGAAAACCCCCTCAATCCTGCAAAATCCTCCATTTTGCAAAGAGGATTTTGGAAGGTTAATCCTGCAGTAATCAATGTGGATGAATTATTAGAACAATGCACAACAGGTGTCAACACCAAACCTTTCTCTGCTCAGACCACTGGTGTGCTCAAAAGCTCCATGTCATTAGTTCCTAGGTTTACACTAACCTGGATTGATGATTTCATCGTCTTCACTAAACGAGACGTTGCCAAAGCTTTTTCTCTTGCGTGGCCTCTCAGCCTTGGGTGCAGCCTCCTCGTAGCTGACATTAGTCACTCTCTTGTTGTGGGCGGTATTAAATTCTGTCAGGTTCTACACAATAACAAAGAGAGTAAAAAAAAAAGGTAAAGGTAAAGGGGGACGAACCTGTGTTCACAGAAACGGAGTGCCCATCTCTCCTTCGAAGCGATTGGGCCAGACTCATATGCTGCTGTGGGGGGATCGCCACACCCCCTCCACAGCGAGTCTGTTACCTTCCCAGCATTGAACAATGCCGGTACCCATTTAACTCCTGGGTTGAGAGGAGTAATTGTGGTTAAGCGCCTTACTCAAGGGCACAACACGCATGGCCACGGTGGGACTCGAACCCACAACCTCTCGATCACGAATCCTGTGCTCCACCGCTAGACAACACGTGCATCGACAAAGAGAGTAAACTATTACAGTTGAATCTCCTTAATGCAAATTTCAGACCACGCATTCATGTGCACAATGAATTGGACAGGTGCTCAGCTTAACCCTCCTGGTAGTACTCTTCGGCACTTCACAACCCTTTAGGTTTTGCAAAACCTCTTTTGCCCATAAAGTGTGCACCCATATTTTAAACACCTGTGAGGTAATCTTCTGTGGAGTTTGGATAATAATTCAAATCTCTACGCAATTTTTGAGTGTGGTTAAGCACGACCCGACCCAAAAATCGCAAACACAAAACCGAAACCGACCAGACCTGACTGAAATTATGGGAAAATCGACCTGACTGAAATTATGGAAAAATCGATCTGACCCAAAAGTCGGTTTAAGGTCAGGTCGGTTTTGCAGTCCTTCATTTAAAGAAAATCCAGGAGAGCTATAAATCGCTCTCCTCAAATATTCGAGGAGAGCAAATCGCTCTCCTTAAAATCTACGGATAAACAGCGGTAAAACGACGGGTTACCATTGTTTTTGTTTTATTTTGAATATAAGGATTTATTCAAGGGGCTGCATTATTAATAGTTTTTGCATAATAACATATGCTCAAGTTGCGTTACTTTTTTCGTTTTTGTAACTGTAAGACAAGGTAAAATTTATTTTAAAAAACTAACTAAATGGAGATTAATAAAAGGTTTGACTACTGCTCAGGCTTTCATTTTTTAATACAGGTGTCAGTTGGTTCATCACTTGATTATACTTGGAAAATGGAGAGTTAATAAACGGCACATAAAGCAACTGAAAAATCGCTTTCAGATTCGTTAAAATTATATGAAATTTTCAGCCTGAACTATTTCAATTGCTCTACGAAAGCTTCACAAAAAGGGCCTCAAAATGACACAAACTTGCCTTAAGTTTTATCGAAAATATCTAACGTCGATAATCTTAAACATAACGGAAAATGCAGGTCAAGTATGCCATATACACAATGCTAGTCACGACGAGAAACTGGCTAACAACATCTGAACGTCGCACTAGTACGAGCGTTTGTGATGCACTGTGTGTGGTGGGCCGGCAATGAGACTCGTTTCACGGTATAGGATTTCGGTGAAACACGCTGCATCGTTTCACTTCACATACCAGTAAAACTTCCTCAAATAAATTCATGAACACGGGAAATACATACACAGACAAGAGAGATCAAGTTTTGTGAATAAGCTTGCAAAGATCGTCCTTCTCAATCGTTGTTTTCTTGGCATTTTTACGACGTCTATTCCGTCCAGCCTGCACGCAAAACACTGTACGGCAGGCAGTGCATTGCACCGCGCAGGACTATTACATTGACTGGTTACCGCATTTTCATCATGCCTTCATTGGGACTTAGTGCGCGGCGCAGCGGGAACCAGTCATTGCTGCACTTGCACGTACGGGCCCACGTGTTTTCATGCAGCTCTACGCGATATGCAGATTGTGCACGCACAGTATACAACCGCTGTACACACACGATCTTATACAGTACGTACGAGCTCGGTGTTCGTTCATTTTTAGCGATGTCCAGCGGCATATTAACGTGAGTTTGGGCATTATACCAACGAAAAATACGTGTAGCTTAAGACTTAAAATCCTTTGCGTTTTTATCACTTCTTATTTTTAAACTTCCCGTGTTTGACGAGCCCTCTTTTGGATTTCTGAGGAGCGCTATTTTTAGCGCTCCTTCGAGACAGTCGAGGAGCGCAGTAGGAGCGCCTGCGCGATCGCGCTCCTTAAAAATGAAGGACTGGTTTTGGGTCGAGTTTGCACAACATTGGTTTGTATTGACATGATTTGATTGTACTCCAATCTCGTACATTTAGTTCTGTCTCCTCTTCAGGAAGTCCAAGCAGACCGCCGCTGATTTCCTCTTCTTCTTGCTCTGTCTTAGAATCTGTCGTCCCTCCAGAAATCACAGATGCTACTGTCTGCGGCTTCTCCCGGAGCACGTAGGACCGCGTCGATGCCCCAAAGTGGATGGTGCTGTCTACAGGAATCTGTTGGGGCTTGTGGCCCTCCAGTCGGATAGAGCCCAGAAATGTTCCATGAGCTGGGAAAGAAAAACGAAAAGACTCTGTGAATACCAGTATTGTAATGGGTTCTGTCACAAGTTCTGTCACAAGTTCTGTCACAAGTTCTGTCACAAGTTCTGTCACAAGTCTTGTCACAAGTCTGCTCGCAAGTAACAGCAGATGAACATTAACATTGAAGGAATTCCGTTGTCATAGCTTGTGAATGGGTTCGAATCCTGACCGTGGGAACATGGTGCTTCGGATGGGACGTAAAGCCGTAGGTCCCGTGTGATGTGTAATGCACGTTAAAGAACCCAGTAACACTTGCTGCTAAGAGAAGGGGTTTGCCCCGGTGTTTCTGGCAGTGGCAGCAATTATGCGCCGGAGCACCTAGCAAAAAGGTGCTACATAATGGGTCTCATATGTTCATATACTTCATTTACCTGTCTTTGTTTGCATTCTCCCCCAGCGCTTTGTATCCTCTGGCAAAAGGCGCTATATAAATACAGTTATTATTATTATTATTACCATGCCTACCAGGGACCAACTACACTAGGGAAGCAAATTCAGGATTCTCTCTTGGACCAAGTCTAAGAGTGAAAGGGAAACATTGAACTCACTGCTTCCAAGGTCCACCAGGAAGGACCTGTTGAGATGTTTGTGGTACATCAACGCAGCGTGGACCCTGGAGCAAGATGCGTGGTCCAGGACAAAGTCACAGACGATGGAGTTCCTCCCAAAATAATACACATTCTTCTCATCAATCATCATTTTCTGCCAAAAATGAGACAAAAAATTCAGAATTTAAAATGAAGACCAACTTAAACCCTCGATTTTTCTTTGCATGAAGCAGCCATGTTGGAGGTGTTTTTTTGTTATTTTAATTCAGAGATGAAGAATTCGAAAAGAATGAAGAATTCACCAGAGGTGTACTCATGTATCCCTCTGGAACAAAAGCACAGACCTCAAAGATGGCGGCTAAGCAAAGGGTCTATCATTATGCTAGTAAAGACATGTCCTATTACACTACCAACAAAATGTCAGATGAGGTAATAACCCAGTCTGGAGTCTCCACAAACTGGGCCCAAAAACTCACTGCGAAACCCGGCGGTTTCATCACTGTAGCACTCTGTGGGGTCGCGTACCACTGCAGGTCATGTGACTGACCCTAAGGTCAGAGTTCACGATCACTGCATATGCTTCTGGACTACCCGGATGGATAGCCATGCATTGGTAGCAAACCTCTGTTCAGTGCATTAAATTCTAACAATCTGACAGTACAAAAGGAATGTATATTTGTTTTTGCTTCTTAATTTTGTCTTCTTTATTTAATACCAGTTTTCACTATCTGTTGCATTTTGGTTATCTGAAGAACACAGCTGATAGATTCTGTTAGACTTAAGAGGCTTCAAATTGTCATGTGATAATGTTGGTTTCAGCGAGATACTGTGAGAAAACCTGAAGTAAGGCCAAGGGTTAATGACACGAAATGACCCCCTGACCTCCCAACTGACCTCGATCATCTTGTTTTCCTTGAGGACATCTAAGTGAAGCCCTGGCAGTGGCTTACCAGCCCTGTAAATGCAAAATGTGATTTAACAGCGTATCAAAATGATGTTTCAATATATGATGTATCAATATAAAGGCAAATGATGTACTGTGTAGACTTTGCATCCTGAGACAGTTTGCATGACGAACAGGGATATTTTGTGCAGCGCAAACTGTCCCACAATGCAGCATAACATACCTTCACTGCACATAAAAATTTAAATTTAAAGGGAATGTACATCACTGGTTTTTGCTGTAGTTCTCAGAAATGAACTATTTGAGGGGTTACTATGATAGATCAAATATTGTTCCACTGATATGTTTGAAGTTTTGTGTTCGAAAATGCTGGAAAACCAAGAAAAACACAAATGGTGGAGTAGTCTGGTTCCCTGACTCCACTAAAGATAAAATGGATCAATTTATAGATGCCGGAAATTTGTAAGGTATGGGAACCAGTCTAGCTGGCCTGCACCCGTTCATGAACATGCAACCAATAGCAAACAAAATTTGGACTGAAAAAAATGGTGAAGTTAGAGCAGTAGTTGAAAAATAGTTAGGTTTTTCCAACGGTGGTCAGCCGACCACTTTTGGAAATTTATACAAAAATACAATTTTCTTGAAAATGACTTCACACCAGTTGCCATAATTTTACAGGATGCTTTAGACTGTCATTTACCAACATCCTAGTAAGGTATTTCATAAAATTTTGGTAATTTTATTTTTCGATGTTTGCAAATGTTGTATATTCCCTTTAAGTTAAAAGCCTAGCCAGTCCAATGTCAATCACGTGGCAGTGCATAGTCACATTCATGGATGGAAGGCATCAGTCTTAAATGGCTAAACGTATAGGCCGGGTTCGGGCGGTCGGTTCTTGACACGGGTATTATATTGTTCTCGCTCTCCAGCCCAACGGCGGGAACATGACCCACGAACGCTGCACTCAGAACAGGATCACACACCACCTATCCGTCGGGGTTTTGCAAGAACAATAAACCCGTGTCAAGAACAGTCCGCCCTAACTTAGCCATAAAGGTTTAAACAGTTCTTAAATATTTGCTTAACGTTTATTACTTCAGGATACCAGTGAAATTTGGATTGGAAATCTCATGAAAAAAATAATGCATGTCAAAATAGGACGCCCTCTTTTGGCTGAGACCAAACATTCAACACCTTTTTAATTTAACCAGCATGAACAAAGTTTGTGTTACTGTATTTCACTCTTAAAACATTTTCTCCACCATGTTTCACTTTGAAAAGTGGAATTCAACACTTGTGAATATATCAGGCAATGATCAAAGCAATTGCTCATCAAATTTCAACACAAAATCAGCTTTAAATTGACGACCTACTTACCACGATGGAACATCATAACCCGACATTTTGGATTTTGGCACATTGCGTGGGACATTCCATTTTAAATGAGGTAAACTAATTTAAGGAACAAATAAATTAGTTTGTTTCATTCAGGTATACACATAATATTAGCCAATGAATTAGTTACAAAATATTAAATAAATAATAAACCAAATGAAATAAAGCATAAGATGACTTCAATTTATTTCAGTTATTTCCAATCATTCACTCCAGATCAATGCGACACACCATCTTCACAATAGAATACTCCAATCAGTATCCGACTGAACCGTACCTAGAGCATGTAGAGGGCGCGCGCGTTTCATATTCCCAGAAAATTAATTGGCGTCAGAAAGCTGTGGCGTAGTTTTCTTGTTTTTGTTTAGATTTTCATCATTTAACCTTAGTTTCATCATGTCTTCTTGCGAGCGGGAAGTTGTAAAGATTGGCAAGCAATTAGACAAACTTCTGAAGAGTGATACGGTAAGATTCCAGTGGAAATTTTATTGGCAATTCAGGGTTTTTGCTGTGTATAAAATTTTCCTTAACTAGTGCTGATATTACTCGTTCATAGTATCAAAATTTCAGACAAAAACTTAAATAGTGTTTTTAATTTGTTTTTAATAAGGTGTTTCACGGTTATACTTATATGCGCCATCTTGCCCGCAGGGCAATTTTACACGCGTTGCTGTGTGCGTATCGTCAATGGAAAGCTTTGGCGCTTCCAAGTCATCAATCATGCGTTCATTCCAAAATATGCCCGCATATCTAGCAACACGTGTTCTTTTTGCCCCGCAAACAAGACGGCGCATGTGAAACACCTTATTTCTACACTCAGTTCTTCCCTTTTCCCCCAACTGTATTTATTTAGGTATCTTTGGATGCTTTAGATCATCTCAACAAATTGAAGGAACTTCCCATTTCACTGGAGATTCTACAGGCAAGTTTCTATTTTTTTGTACTGAAAAGTGACATGGAGCCAATTTACTTACTCCCTATGTAACTTTGACATTAAGTTAGGCCTTTATGAATCAGCTTAGTACCTCCATTATTGTTAGCAGTTACAATACCCGGGATAAAAAATTGACTTAAACTTTGAAAAAGTAAGATTTGAAAACAAACCATCGTTAGATGTACATTTTATATTTGGAGCAAACCATTCCTCCATAAGTGAGAATCCCACTTAAACCACATGTCACTAACTGATAATATTTCAGCTATCCTTGAAATTTGGAATTAATTTGAGAAGTTTTTGTCTGCATGCTCTTTGTACAACAGAAGACACGGATTGGGATGTCTGTAAACTCCCTGCGCAAACAGAGCGGTAGCGAAGATGTGAACACGCTGGCCAAGTCGCTCATCAAGGGATGGAAGAAGCTGCTGACAGCCCAACAAGGTTGGACTAACAATCACATTTAAATACAAGTAGTTTGTTTTTTTAGATATGGCAGACTCAAGAGGAGGGAGCTTTTTGGTTTTGGTTAATTTGGGTGTTACGGATTGTGAATGGGCTTATTTGAAACGCCAGAAATGGTCAAAGACTGACACTTGCAGTTTGCCTTTCTGACGTGAGGTGACATGCCGCATTGTGCTGAAACTTCACAATGTACAACAACGTCCTGTTTAGTCTGAAACAATCAAATTGAATAGCATATTCTGAGAAACATTCTTTGTACTCCAATATAAGGACCAAACCCCTAAACCCCTGTGAAATAAAACTAGCAGCCAGTTTCTGGAGTCCCGAGATATCCGTCAAATTATTGAAAACCAAGTGTTGAATTTGAGAGGATTTTGGGTGGTTTGGATTACACAGATTACACATAACAGGATACTGGAAGTTAACACTATTCATTTGAGTTTTTTTTTTCCATTTATTATTTTTTGAGATTTTGTAATATTTTTAAAAAAATTTGCTGCTTTTTTTGTTCCCAGGTCCAAACAAATCTAACAGTTCCCAGGAGAAGAAGAAGGACAGCGGTGATGATTCCCGTGAACCGTCGCCTCCCCCACCTAACGGGAGCGGTGACGGCAAATCCAGTGGGTCTGAGAAGGGCAAGAGCTTCCCCCCTGCTAAGACGAATGACGTAGTGAGGGAGAAATGCGTACAGATGATTGTTGGCTCGCTCAAAGTACCTAGTAAGTGACTTGTGTGTGTGTTTTATATGAACTTTGGCACCAGTACCCCTTTACTCGGATACAAAAAGAGAGTTACGAAGGACTTGAATGTGTTACACCCCAATTATGGCAATATGACTGTATTTGGGACGATGCCATAGTTGTGTACATCCCAGTTACGTTTTTCTTTTTAAAAGGGCAGTCTCTGTAAGAGAACTATTACCCTGTAGCCCATTAGAAAAATTGTGCACCTTTTTTCCATTTTCTTCCAGTTGAGGGTTGCGACACAGAGGTGTTGGGGGACGTCGATGAAATCGCAGCCGAGATTGAAGATTATATCCTTTTTTTTACAAAGCGTCAACAAAATTCAATTTTTCCAGTGTTAAATTAACAAGTTTTCTAAAGTGATTGCTAAACAAATTTGAAGTAACTTTCACAGCAAAAGCTATGAATCAAAAAACATATCGACTATTGACACAGCACTCATATTCTACATTAGCAATGTTTTTGGGGAGTACAAATTACTTTTAACAGGTTATCAACTTTTGAGGACCATATTTTTATTGAAATGAAGTTTTTAAATTCAGTTCAAACATTTGAGCTGTGAAGGACATCAAGGACATTTTTGTTCCTGGTTCACTTACCTGATCACCTTGTTTGGGTTTTATCTTTTTACTGATAATGCATGAAAGGGATTTTTATATACTAAAGCTTTTTTGCCAAGAAGAGGAATTGTTGTAGTTACTCATTCCATCGTGATATGATCTCTTTAACCATTCCCGTACGTGTCTACACCGAGTTTGTCAACACCGATATGAAGTACAAGAATCGCATCCGAAGCCGTGTCTCCAACCTGAAAGATACCAACAACCCTGAGCTGAGGAGGAGGGTCCTGACCAGAGAAATCACCCCGGAGCAAATCGCCAAGATGACCTCTGATGTAAGTGGATTGATTACCAGTTTCAGACCAGCGTCCAGAATCGCACCGTACCAATTGGTTTGCATCAATTTTTAGTGTTTTCTTTTTCAACTCCTAATAGGAAATGGCGAGCAAGGAGCTGAAAAGCATCCGCGATGGCATCACCAAGGAGGCTATTAAGGAACACCAGATGGCCGTCACTGGAGGCACCAAGACCGACCTACTTAAATGTGGCAAATGCCTTAAGAGGCATTGTTCTTATAACCAGGTAATTAGTTAGTGGCTTTGTGTAAACTATGGAGGGCGCTGTTGTAAAGCCTAACAAGGATGGCTAGTGAAGGGCACTTGCATAGCCAGTGTTTAAATTACCTGGCTATGACTTACAGTTATACACAGGTCTAGGGGAACCAGCTTAAGCCACTACGCAGAGACTTGGTACTTTCTGCTAACCGTAGCCATGTTTTTTTCAGACGCGGCCATATCTCGTCATATTGTTTGCACTTTGAAATGTTTCATTTGGCATCTTTTGAAAAAAAATATTAAAACATTCGAGTGTGTGTTTCTTATTCACAGGTGCAGACAAGAAGTGCTGATGAACCCATGACGACATTTGTATATTGCCACAACTGTGGGAACAGGTGGAAGGTATGTTGAATTTCCCCCCCCCCCCCCCCCCCCCCCCCCCCCCCCCCCCCCCCCCCCCCCCAAAGCTTACCCCACACCACATTTCTGAGGCTTGGCGTCAAATACCCATTTGGCTTCCCAAAGTGTGAAATAATGTCCTGTCCCCTTTTCCCTCACTTGTCCCACCCCCAGATGGTAGAGTGTGGTTCCGCCACTACACCCCCACCCCTAGCTGACTCACTAGCTGGCAGGCTAGCTGACAGGCCGCTAGCCTTGCTTGCTACTTCAATCTTATATCAATGCCATTCTCTGTCTAATCAAAGCTAGGTGAACCACAGCCAACTTGGCCAGCAGTTTAAAATTACAAACTCATCAACAACTAAGAAAATTCCACATCTGTTGTCATTGATTTATCTCTTTTTATTCCTATAGTTCTGTTGATGTCGGCAGAGTCTTCATGTAAATCGTAATCCTGTACATTCTGTAAGGTTTGTAATTTCACTCACTGCTAGCCTAATGTGTGACTGCATTTGTCGACTGGATCGTCCAGACTTTACACATACTGGGTACTGACATTCAAACAATGGAGCAAAAAGGTAAAAACCTTTGCAGTATTAGGTGTTCCGTAAAACCATGAAAGTTAAATCAAGTGCTTGTAGTTATGTACTGTAAATGTATACGCATGGTTACATCTGGATAAAATGACTGCAATAAACGAGGGTAAAACTTTGCCGTTCAGTCTTACAAATGTTTTTGAAAATCTGAGACATGCTTCTGAAAGATGTCTTGTGCCCTAGGACTATCGTTGCAAGTTTTTGTTTTTGCATTTTGCAACTAGTGTTCTGTGCTAGCCTATAAAAATTTGAAACAATTCACTTCTTGTTGTTGTTTTTTTTGCCTGATGAACCCCAATGTCAATTGTACTTTCCTTTATTTCATTGTGAGAGTTTGGCATCACGTTAGAAGAGCAAACACAACTGGTCATAAGACGACGTTAATATGACACATGTTGACTGTTGTTAGAGTGCTTTGCCAGATAACCAACTGAAAACCTAGTTCATTTGTCTTTGTTCATTTCTGAATTTTGTTCCGTGTTTGACTCTTTGCTTTGTGACTACTGTTAGAATGATACTCATAATATTAAGGGAATTCATCACATGATTCATTTTCTTCCATGAAAAAAAAAAACATTTTAAGTTCATCCTGTGTTTCTCTTTGGTCCCCTCCCTAACTTATTTGTAAAATATCCGGAGAAGGGAAGCAACCAATTTGGAGTTGCATGTTGGAATAATTAAGCTGTGTCCTGTTTCTTCTTCTTCTTTATTTTCCACAGTTTTGTTAAAAACCTTGATAATTACCTCTGAATGGTGAAAAATATGTAAATTTACATTATTTAAAAGTCCACTTTTTTTTAAATGCCTGATTAGAAATGATAGAATAAATGAGTAGACGTTTAGACACAGTGTGACAAAGTTGTACAAATTTTAGGTACTTTGTAAACCAACAATTAAAAGTCTGTCCATTAACAGAAACATCAGTGTACGACCGTGATTTTTTTTCTGTGATTGGTTAACTTCATGTAATTTTTAAATATTTTGGTACAAAAAACAGACGACACAGATTAGCTCACAATCGGGCGCTATTTGATTTTGGTAAACGTTTTGGTATTTACCCAAACGAAAAGAGCGCCCTCCTATTGTGTCTGTCATATCTGAAAAGTGCTCATTACGATTTAGAGTTCATATTGAATTCGCTTTACAGAAGGATCCACACAGGCATTCTTCCTCCTTGGATAAGTCGACTTTACATCCATCCTGGGTGCCCGGCTTTCCGACATATCCTTACGGTGAACTCCTCCTGTTTCCCCCGATCGCTGATCGTTCTCTAGACGGATCCACGATGATTTGACCACAGGAACTTTGCTTCGCACCACGCCATCGTTGTAATGCCCACTTGAATCGATCTGCCATTTCTTTTCGTGGGAGAAATTACTGCTCGCAGAAACCGACGGATTCTCCCCAATATTAGAGTTGATTTCCGAAGACCGATCCCCAGGAGGTTTGAATTGTTCTTCATTGCCCGCATCACAAAATGTGTTCTTAACTCTCGGTACTTTCTTGTCGGAATTTTCCAGATCAGCTAAATTGTTTGTCATGTTGATTGTAGATTTCCCCTCATTTATATTACATTGTCCTTTTTTATCCAATCCCTTGGTTTGAGTTGTACGATTCTCACAACTGCTTTCAAAACGATCGCTTTCCTGTTCTCTCCCAGTGAATAAATTTTTCGCTTCAAAATCACCAAGAAGTTTTGGGGAAGTGTGGTCTTCATTGCCTGTCCCTGCGATCGCATTGAGTGTGGAGTTGGCTTTATTTCGTTGGTTATGTGATTTTGGCGCCAAAGTTTGATCCTTGTAGATGGAACTTATTTGCTCATTACTGCCATATTCGGGACCTGGTAGACAGAGGGCGCTCTGCAGCGATATCGCGTGGAGGGGACTGGGGTAGCGGAAAGCCCGCGAAGATCCCATGTAACTGTGGGATGTTAGCTCGGGATGCTCGCCCAGGGAGAAGTCAATCTCGTGTACTGATCTCCGCTTGCGTCTCAGCATCTCCTCCTTCGTGATGAGTTCTGTGGTAGATCTGTCGGGGGTTGTGATTGGTTCCTGGAGTGACAGCGATCTAGTGATGAAATGAGGTCTTCTATTGAATTGATGTGTCTGGGGATGGACTAGGTTAGCTTTCAATGATGAAGTTTGTTCCGAATTGGTAACTCTAGCTGCCGAATTGTTCATTGGATCGCCATCCTTCGTTGAATCATTGTTAGCAGCCATCTGCTCCGTTACACTTTCCCGAACCCCATCCAAAGTGACGGTACTGCGTTCGGAAATGTCACCGAACATGTCTTTTGATTCCAAATACTCTTGCGATCTATCACGAGAATCTCCGAATGCTGACGAAACTTGACTGCCGCCTTCGGAATTCTTGCGAGACGCCATGGAACCGTCTGTGCCAGCAGAATCATAGAAACCCAAACTCTTCTGACTGGATGTTATGGATTTGGTGTCCTTTGTTTCGTTCTGATGCCTCGTTTCTAACTTTCCCGAGTCGTCTCTATGGTTGTATGCAATTTGCTGATGGTGATTCTGTATTTAAAACAAGCAAAATCGAATAAGTATGTTTTTATATTGCATTTCGTAACAGGAATCGAAGCACAAACCATCTCAAATTAAAATACCTTTTGGGACAGAAAGAGTAAACAGCACAGGTAAACACTGAGGAGTGGAACTATAACAAGACAGTTCATTCGAAATAGTTGCGTTTTTTTCTCAGCCATTTTTTTTTGGAGGGTGTTCGGGTAATTTTCAGATCATTGATAAAATAAACCTTCATATCACAAAAGAAAACTTTGTGTGACTTTTTTATATGGATGGATTGGCTTGTACAGGGGTTGGGTTAGTTTGTTTTATGGTATTTTAATTTTATTTATGGGTTTCATTAAGTTGAATACTTCCCTTCAACGCCCCCCCCCCCAAAAAAAATGCAGACAGCCCTCTGGCCAATGAAGCATGAGGTTATTGCCAATTAGCTTCAAGATTTAATTTCAGATCAGGTGTTGGCACTGCCTCTCGTAAGAAATGACCACAATTTATTACACAAGGCCATTCTTTCTCTTTGCAGCACCCCTGCAGTCCACAAACTTTATTTCTTGAGATAGAGTTTCCCTCCTTAGAGTCCTGGAGTCTGAGTTTTGTTATTTTACCCCCGCCTTCCCATTCATGGAGAAAATTGCATTGATGCCCAAATTCCAACACCGTTCGTTCATTTGGCTTCGCCTTTCATTCGAGACGTGGGAAATAATTGGGGTTTGTTTGTTGCAAAACACATTTAAAATGTAAGGATTATCAATGTCAATTCTCGTCACGTTCGTTGAGATTATTTTGACTGGTTTCTCCAATCAATCACAACTTTCCCCGGCAATTTCTCCGGCTCCGGCTATAAAGATTAAAACTTTTTCCACTACTTTTGTTTTCAAATTGATAACAAAAGGGGGGGGGGGTTCACAAATATATCGCTTTTTCTTTTCTGTTTCCTTTTCACAAAATCCCCAAAAAAAATTGTGTGGGAAACAAAACGATATAAACAAGATTCGTAAATCCATATGAAACGCGTTGATCTGCGAAATGTGGATTTTTAATTATCTTAGTTACTGAATCGCCATTGATTGAATTGAAAAATACTTACATTTTGAACAGCTACATTTTGCGTGTTGCCACCCAGGCGCAAAAGCAAACTGCTGTCTCCGCTAGAATTTCCCGCCAATTTATCTTCTTCAAATCCAAACACTTCATCTTCCGTATCTTCGTATTTCTGAAGGGAACTGCTCATGGCCTCCTTTACGAGTCGTTCCTGCCTCTCTCGCAGCAGACTCAGCTCCAAGAGTCCCGCATTGAGTGCCTCCAGTCTGGCCTGCAGACGATGACACCGCTGGAATGGAGGTCTGCAGGGTGAGCTCCCTTTTCTTCCTCGAGACGACATCAGTGCTGAGGTCGGAACACTTGGACTTGTGAGACTGTCTCCATCAATTGTGTTCACCTCGAGATCCGCGTTGTTACTGTGCAGAAATGCTCCCGCCTCTTGCACAACAAGGTTCCTTGCTTTGTAGGCCAATCATTTATTCACCATATTATTTGTGGTCAAAAGCTGACTAATTAACATGAGGAGTCGAATACTATAGCAGTAACTGCTTTGTTTTTGGTAAATGGAGCGTCGATAATGTAATGAGACAAATACAATAGCAGTCGGGTGTTCGGTTGGAAAAGGCAGTGGCGAAGCCGGTAGAGGGGTGTGGAGAAGGCGCAGTCTGCTGGCAGGTTGCAACGGGGTGGAGATTTTAGAAGCAAAATCGGGACGCTGATCATGATAGAAGCAAACTCGGGACGGTGAAAATGGGTTAAAACGGTACGAACATTTTAATTGTCAACGGGCAAACAAAACCCTGGCTACGCGTCTGGGGAAAGGGTTATCCTACGGTGCCAGTGCAGAGTGGGGAACATTTAGCGCCAAAAATTCAGGTGTATAATAAGTAGGCCTATGCGTACCAATTGCACAGACAGAAATGCAGTTTCGTGCTGATAAAATTTCAAGTGTTTTAAACTTTGCGTCAAGAAAGCAATGAAAAGCGAACTATGACAATGATGGATGCCTTTTTATGATTGGTTTCTGAGGTTGGAAACCCCTTTTTAATTTCCCCCTTAAAAACCACGTTTAAAAGCTATGGAAATCCTGGGGAAAAATTGTTTGCCATCTGATAAAAAGATTAATGAATTATTTTGAGGTAATTCGTGCGTCGACGTGCCAGACAGCACGACCGTAAATTGTAAACAGCGACCTCTGTTGAAAAGATATTCCGCATTTTAAAACGAATCGGTAACTTTGTGCAAAGCGATGATTTGTATTTAGGAAAATAATTAATAATGTGAACGAGTAAGCATTCAGGATCATATTTGTAACGAATTAAAGACACATTGGGGTTTGTTTAAGCTTGGCCGCTCATCATGCGCAAACCCTGGCATCATTCATGTGTGATGGCGCCCTCTTTTGATCTTAGTATGAAAAACAGCATTATAAATATTACGGTTCATAATGCAATGATTTACTCGTGCTAAAAAATAATGTGAGAGATGTCGAACTAATCAGCGTGGTTTACTCTAGATGGGAACAGTGGCGTAGCCAGGATTTTTTTTTCAGTTGGGGGGGGGGGGGGGGGGCATCAGCCTGTTATGGGGGGGGGGGGGGCACCAAGGGTGGACCCGCAACAAAATTTCCCTCAATTTTCAGGGCACCAACTGGCCAGGCAAATGCTGCAAATTCGAGGGGGGGGGGGGGGGGGGGAGAATGAGGGGGTATGTAACTCTTTTGACCATAAAGGGCGCTCTTTTTTCTTTCAATTTATTCACATTTCAGAAAGCCGTAGGGAATTATGGGATCGAGTAACAAACGTTCCTCTTCTGTTTAATTACTTAAAAATAAGATACATTAAAAAGACACTTCATTGGATGTGGCAAATTTGTGTGTGTGTGTGGGGGGGGGGGGGGGGGCACCTGAGGGGAACTGGGAATTGGGTGCCGGGGGGGGGGGGCACGTCTCCCCTCCCCTTGGCTACGCCACTGGATGTGAAGAAAATTAATATGGATTTGATTGTGTGTCACAAAATTTGAGTGCCAGATTTTATATTTAAAAAAGAAGAAGTTATTTTTCACTTTTGAAATTCAAGTGAAACTGTTGAGCACTTCAAAGTTTCTCAGAGACAGTGATGGGTTGGTTGCCAGCCGAGGAATATGATATTGACAATGAATTTTTAAAAATGAATAAATAAAAGTATGACATTCTCTTGAATTTGAAACCTTGTTCGTGTGGCGCAGCGCAGTCGTCTGCGAAATATCAACAACACTAGATGAGAGTGTGAAGTAATCGAACCCCGGGGAGTTAAGACCACCTAACGGTGCAAATTTCACACTCAGTGCCGCCCA